TATTATCCGTCCATGATTTTAGGTTTACTTCAAAGATGATGATTAAAGTTAGATAGAAGACAGAAGGTCTCGTGTGCTGGTATGTTACTACTGGCAATTGAGGTAGAATGGAGGCATTCCTGTTGCTGAAGATGGATTTACTTCTGTGTTTTACTGCCCCTGTCTGACCAGTCCTGATTTGTGTTTGTTGTGTTAAGATACCGATAATATCTTCAGTTGGCTTCTATTGAGGATAGATTTTTGTTTCAGCAAGATTTATACAAAATGCAGTCAATCAATACTCAAACAGAATAGACCAAGTATGAGATGCAGAGCTTTACTGCGCCCAATCTTGAAATAATGTTAAGTAAAGTTAGAATTACTCTCACTGAGCACTTTATTAGGAACACCATACTAACACCTGTTAGTTCCTCCCTTTACTTTTAAAACAGCCTCAGTTCTTTGTGGCATTGAATCTGTAATATATTGGAAATATTCCTTTAGACTCTGCTCCGTGTTGACATGATTGCATCAGCTCCACCACTTCCTAAAGGAGTTCTTCTGGATTCTGATGGGGTGACTCAAACAAAGCCTTATCGAGCAAAATCCCGGCAGGTCAAAGAACACATGTTGTGCAGTGAGCAGCGGTCTCAGCTGTTCATTCATTAATGTCAGTCACTTACTGATGAATGACTCCTGGTCAGACTTTAAGCTATGTCTGAGGGGTTTGTTATTAAGATCTCTGATTGCTGGATAATGAACATACAGTGTTACGTAACTTTATTCTGGGATCTTTTTGATCTAAATTACTTGTTGTCACGTTATCAATAAAAGCATGATTTATGAGCCCAAAGAGCTTATCAACACATCATCTGGTCAGGGAATTTTATTAGAAATGAAAGCTTTATTTATGTTACAGACTGTCCTGCATGCCGGTGATATAATCCTTATAGCCGGTGGTGGGAGAGGGATTCAGTTTTTAGGTTGAATAAAATCAAGATTTAAGTTTTTTTATACATTTGAGGTTAATTGTACAAAACATTCACTCAGTGTTATTTGGATGAGTCTTATATGTTTTACTGCTACTTGATTGGATAACTTATTGGAATTCACAAGCTAATATTGAATTTGGATGTTTGTGGTGATGTAGTGACGGGAGCCAAGTAATGTCAGAGGGAAGTGATTCATTAATGGAACAGACATAAAAATATTCACTCTGGAAAGCTCTAATAATCAACCAGGGAAGTTGTTGTTTATTGACAAGTGATCAAGTTTAGTGTGTGTTGCCAAAGTGTGATATAACTTATTCCTCTGAGCCATAGAGCGCCATTGTCTCCAGAAACAGATTAAAAACACATTAAAGAGCCACACCGTTGCACCCGGTGACATGTTCCTTCATTACCACGAACGACCGCACTTCAGTTGATTTTGACTCAGTTGCACGTACCACCATCCTGCCGCTGGAAACACTCACTACTCACTAGAGCACTGAATGTGTATCAGTCCGCGGCTGAAAGTAATCCCCAAACAAATGCACTATTTACTCCTGTTTGAAAGACATTTGCTAAAAAGAACAATTGCGTAGGAACCAATGGGCTTGGGGGTGAGTGCTGCATTAAGGGTAGTTGAATAACACTTGACACTGAAGCAGAAGATGATCTACAGCATTTATAGAAAAAGGACTTAAGTTTCAATCATTTGGTTTTGCCTGGATGATTAGCAAAAAGTCAAATTATGATATAGAGATGATAGAGTCTGTATTACATGTTTATCCATAAAGCAAGGAGAAAAGATATTTTTCCAGTGTCTTGTTTCTAATCCATGTTGTTGTCTTGTGCTACCACTGCATTGGTGGAGTGTGTTTATGAGATTTCAATAAACTTAGAAATTTCAAAATATGACGTCATATTCAACGTACTGAGCACTTCTCTAAGTAGATTTTGAAAAGAGGACAAAAGTGGAACAGACTCAGAGTCACAGAGGCATCACTGGACTTTCTGAGAGGAAATATAGTTGTGTGATCAAAATCAAATGAGCAATTAATTATTGTTAAGGCATACTGCATTAAAAATCTATTGATTTCTAGTGTATTTGGAGTTCAAGCTTCTTTCTTGTTGGGCTTTTGTCTCCAACCCTCTGGAGCTGAGTCCTTAGCTGTTATCATCCCAGTGGAATTGTCTGGTATTTTTGGCATCCAGTGAACCACTGCATGTTTTTTTTTTTTTATCTTTGATAACTGTGCACGAGGCAAGTAAAGAAAGTCTGAACAAATTAGCCAGCAGACATGTATCGCAGCTGAGCGACACTAATACAATAAGTAAATTAATGATTCCCTTTTATCGCGGTGCCAGTAAACGTTTGGACACGATCACTTTTGCTTTGTAATCCTGTGTTTGTGAACTTGTGAACCTGTGGTGCCTCTAAATCTCTGGGCAGAACAACAGAAAAGTTCACCAGGTTTTAATGACCCGTGTCACTGCAGTGTCGGCAGCTTGGCAAGCTTGTGACATTTAGCCACTTTCCCACTGTGTTCTCTATAGAGCCTGGAGGACTTATCAAATATTATCAGCTGATATTAGTTTATTAAATTTATAATGGCATATGTCATCTGATAAGTGAGAAGAAACTGCTGCACGGTAACAAGATTATTTGTTTTGTAAAATGTCCTGCAGTATCAGTTTTACCGCGTCATGGAGATGAAGTCTGCTGATCTGTGTGGTTTAAAATTTCTCTCACCGATAATGTAAAGATCATCCAGGTTTATGTTATGGCCTCAACTTTTAATGAACTCAGCTTCGACACAAACACATCATATTGTTTCCATCAGTTTGTCTTCGGGACGTCTAAATATTACAATAAAAATAAAAACATCAGCTGCCAGAAGCGAATCCAAAATGTTTTCTCGCTGCAGTCGGGATGAAACACGGCGCCGTGGTTGTTGAATCTGTCTAAAATAAAACCCAGAATTAAGAAGTGAACAGAGTTTCTTGCCACAATGCACCATGGGAGTTGTAGTTAATTTATGAACACATGTTTGTACTGTTTTTTTTTTTAGGAATCATCTAGAGCAGTTGATTGTCTCTTGTAGTGATGATTCAACCTCTGTTTTATACTGATCTAAGCCACAGATTAGCTCCAGTTGTGAGTCACTTACATTGTCTTTGTGACTTTTTACTTACATAATCGGGACACCCAAAAATAGCTCCTCCAACTCTGTTCACTTTGTTGTGTCTGAACAAAGCTTGAGTCATTTAAAATGGGGAGATATACAGCAGCAAGTTGCGTAGTGGGCTTTGATCTGATATTTCTCATTATTGTACACACTTTAGTTGTTGTTGTTTTTTTTAAATTCTGATACTTAATATGTGAAGCTGAAAGCTGAATTCCTCTCTCTTATCCAGCAGCACTTACTTAGCTGCCACCCACTGAGCAGGATGCAGTCTGTCCTTGTCTCGCCATGTCTTATCAACTGCTAATCTCCTCCAACCACAGCAAGGAGGCTCCCTAAGTGGGCTTTCTAAACCAAGAGAAAAAGACAAGGTTTTCACTCTAATACTTTCCTATTCAATGTAATTTCACCATTTTGTCACAGTGTTGTTGTGTCTAGGAGAGTGGGATCAGTTTCAGCTGTTTAGTCTGGTTCATTTTTCTCCCAGGAGCTTCGACACAAAGAAAAATATCTTTGGTTTTCTGTCTTTTTTTTTTATTTACCTGAACCTGATATCCCAGGATCTGCAGCACGAGGACAGTTTAGACCGGACTGTTCACACACTCTGGGAGCTAAGTTGAGATTTCCTTCGCCCGGCCCTCTGTCTTCCCTCAAAGACACTTGTGCCCCCCCCCCCCCCCCCTGTTTCTTTCCCAGCCTTCTCCCACATTCAGGAAACTGGAGCAGAGCCAAAAACCCCTAGTCTCCGTTTCCGGGAATCTGTCCCACAAAGCCACAGTATAGTAAGTTGGCCCTGACGTGGGAGCCATTGTTAAAAGCCCAGGGCCCCCATTGTCCAAGGGAGGAACAGCAGCACAAACAAAACCCCCTCTTGCGGAACAAGTAGGAGGTGCTGAGGGCATGGGGGGGGGCGAGGAGGGGGAGCCCACGCTATTAATATATGAACTAGCCCCATCAAGCTGAGCTCTCATGAGGGAAATGCATTTAATTCAGACCGACTGTTGGAAATTTATTCAAAATTGGACAACAGCAGCTTTGTCGTCCCACTTTGCTAATATGGCATTGATCGGAGAATACTGCACTGGTTGTCTATGATGTTTAATGGATCATACAGTAAGAGTTACAACTGATGGTGAATATATGCTGTGTGAGTGGCAGAAAACATTATAACATTATTATTATTATTATTATTTATAACATTACTAAGGTTCATAATCAAAAAATAAATCAAGTTTTTGTTTTGAATATATTAAAACCTGCATCGTTCACGTCTCCTACCTGTCTTCATCCCTTTACCTTTACGGTGCATTGGCTCATTTCTCAGTGTTTTACAACCACCAGTTGTTTTCCCTCATATCCCTGATATCATGGATTCTGATCCAAGCAATATTTGTTGCACCTGTCGAGACGACTTAAACCTTCACCATTCTTGTTATGGCATAGTTTCGATTGACCAGCTTTAATATGAGCAGAGCTCTAATCTGCCGACACTTTAAAAATGTAGATTTCAGAAAGTAAAGTACAGTGGATTAAACTGGCAACACCCAGTCGACTCTTTCTGTCTGTAGTTAAAGTCATTGTGACATTTCCAATAATATCTCATCATGGACATTATATCTAATATAAGTGGTTGGACAGTATTTTTAAGACCTCACTGTACCCTGACTCTCATTTTTTTTAATAAGATATTATATTTTGTGTTTATAGCCCCCAATGGTGGCTGTAGCTTCTCAGTTTTTAAAAAGTTGAATTTCAAAAAGGAAGGAAATTTGTGGATTATGGGAAAGGTATTTATTTATTTGTTTTGAAGTGTTTGAGGGTTTATATGTTGTGTGTGTTCTCACTGCTCTAGGACCCCAAGCATTCTCAACAAGGAGCCGACAGACAAGAAACCTAAGAATGAGAAATCGTCCGTCTCCCTCAAACATGAATTTGATCCAACAGGTAAGAGACGCACAGCTTTATCTCTATTCTCTGATTTTTTAAATTTTTAGCGCTGGCTTTACTCTTATGTACTCTTAAATAAAGTTATCTGTTAGCTATGGTGAGGGGGGAGAACAGGGATGGCGTGGATGTAGGCAGCGCTCAGAAACAAGTTGTTAAGGTGGTTGCCTGGGTTGCAGGGTCGACATTAATCCTTCCTGCCCTTTTCTTCACCTTGGCGTCTTGAGGCTCCTTCATGGAGGCCAGAAGACAACCAATTATCCACTCAGCTCCCTCAGATAATTCTTTGAAGTGGGAGAAGGAAAAGGACTCTGAGTCGCTACACTTCCTCAGTGGCTACAGGAAGAACGTCCCTTGATCTGGCAGATGTTCTTTGCAGATTTCAGCGCGTTGGAGACGGCGGAGTGTAGGGACATGGCTGACACCGCTGAGTTTAGAAATGGAGTCACTAATTTCACAGGGTCACAAGGATGTGGCAGATTCACATGGGTACTATTAGCTGTGCTCCTGGCACATGGTCGAGGGATTTTTTTTTTTGTACGCCCCTTCCATAACATTCAGTTTTAATTTGATGTACAGGCTAGCTGTCCAAAGTGTCACATTTAACTAGTTAACAGAGTAATAGATTAGACCATCCATCATATGTTTCATATCATTGTTGATCACAGCGTATTTACTATTTTCTGCACAGAGAATACATCTAGAAGCCAATGTCCTAAAATTGGTTTTTCTACTATACCTTATCTACTGCTACTGCTCATAATAATACTAATAATCACATTGTTGGAGCATCTTAATTTATTTTTTTTTCAAATCCTAGTGTCATCTGCATAATTCAAATCAATTCAGTTTTATTTGTATAGTGCCAAATCATAACAAACATTATCTCAAGACCTTAAAAATATTATAGAGAGAAACCCAACAGTTCCCACAATGAGCAGCACTTGGTGACAAACAGAATATTAGAGGACCCAACATTGACCTCTGTGGAACACCATATTTTAAGTGAGCTGTTGAAATGTAGTTCAGGTTTGTGTCCCCTCCAGTTTTCCAGATGATAAGACCACGGTCCTCAGAATGAGCTAAGCACATTAAGTCTAAAAGTGTACGCACCTTTACCGGCAGGGTAGAGGTGGTCTTTTATTACCCTCAGAGGAGCAGACTGCATTGTGGGTAGCAGACATCTTCACAGATGCTGAGAGCCTATTTTTTTCACCACATCTCACCTCAGCATTGTAAATGTAGTTGTTGTTTTTTCAGACAAGTTCAGGTAATGATGTTTTAAATAACAAAGGACTCTATACCCAGTCATTTACAGTGTCAGCTCTCCTTTAACACAGCGAGAATGAGCAGCGCTGCACCATGGTTGTATTCGTGACTTATCAGTGATGGGGGACCATTTTGATTTTTTTTTTTTTTTTTTTCTTTAGCCTTTCCATAGATGATTTTCTACACAAAAGCTCTCAAAGAGACACGAGAGGAAAATGGGTCTCTTGTTGTTGTGTCCAGTTTTCTTGGAAAGAGAACTGGCTGCTATTTAAAAACCTTTTTCTGTTCTTGATTTGTCACTTCCTGTGTGGAGAAATTTGACTCCACAGGACGACCAGTATTCCAGATATTCTGTGCCAAAAAATCTGAGGCAGAACTTCATGTATAAGTCCCTTTTGTCAACACTTATCACTAACCGGTCCCGGCAAAAGTGTGTGAAATGTAAAAGAATGTACGCGTAAAATATTGTTACAAAATAAAACACTATATTCAATATTAATGTTATTACTGTGAAGACTTTTCAGTGTGGAACAAAAAAACAAACTCATATCATGCAATGTAACTTTGTGTGTTTGTGTGTTTGTGTGTGTGTGTGTGTGCGCGCCGACAGGTCTCGTCCAGCGTTGCGTGATAATCCAGAGAGATGAAAATGGCTTCGGGCTGACCGTAAGCGGAGACAACCCTGTGTTTGTGCAGCTGGTCAAAGAAGGTAAGACTCGCACACAAAGTGAAAAAATCACCACGCACCTGTAGAAGCACCATCTCTGACTCTGCTCCGTCTTTCGTCTTATAGATGGAGCTGCGATGCGAGCTGGTGTTCAGACAGGAGACAGGATCATCAAGGTGAGTCTTGGTTATTTACTTCTTATTTCCAGGATCAGCAGCTGAGAGTTAAAAGTTGAAACTGATATATTTAGCCTTTGTATTTGCATTTGTTTAGGGATTCAACTTTGTTCTCTCCTGATACCAGATCAGATATATAAACTCTGTATCTGCTGAGAGACCACACAGTTTAAACACATTTTAGTTTTTGTCTTTTTATATGGTTTGTTGACAATAACAAAAATAAAAGCAACGTTTTCCTTCCTGACAGGTTAATGGGACCTTAGTTACACATTCAAACCACATAGAGGTTGTGAAGCTGATAAAATGTAAGTATGCACTTCTAATTAGAGCTTCAATATCCTGCATCACATTTTAATTTTCTATTATTTTCATGGCATGTTAAGAACATAGTTTTAAGTTGGCGATAAGGCTGAAGCATCTACGTCTTTGAAGTGGAGTTGCTGCCGTTTGTTTAGTGACAAAAGCCGTAAAAAAAATCCAAATTTGAGCAAAAGGGAAGGCAAATCAACTACCACAGCTGCGTATGATAGGCTTAAACACCTGTCAATCAAACAGACATGTCCCCAAGCATACAACTCTTTGCAATTTATTGTGGAAAATAAATACAGAGATTTATTTTCTAGAGAACAGTTTGGGGTTTTCCCACTCCCTCCTCTGTGTGACAAAGCTCTCTGTCTCCCTCTGAGCTGGTTCTGTTGACCAAATCTTCACAATAGCTCGGGTGCTTTTATACATGTATCAGTATTATTCTTTCCCTTCACCCACCCCTCATTCCTTTCCCATGACTCCTCTCTGGCAGCGGGCTCCTATGTAGCCCTGACAGTCCTGGGGAGGCCTCCAGGGCTTCCTCAGATCCCCCTGGAGGAGGATGAGAAGGAGGAAGGGGCAGAGGTCAGCACACCCTCGTCTCTCTCAGTGCCTCACTCGCCTGCGCTGCCAGGTGGGGAGCACTGCAGCCCCCAGGAGCACCTCACCTCCCCTCCGCCCGATGGGGTAAGGAAGAAATGAAGAGCATTTTTATGCATGTGCCACATATATTATCTACTTTTCTCTTTAGTGAGGGACGGGAGCACTTCACCACATAACATTTAACTCATATTAAATATACATTTTTATTGTTAAAAATACTTAAACTGTTTCAAACCTAGAAAACTCAGTGGTAAAATCTGTTACAATCCTATAACCATCTGCAAGACCAAATAAGACATGACAAGACAAGTTTTTTTCTTTTTTACAGCAAGTAAAGGAGCTCATAAAATGTGTTTCCATTAATAGCGTCTTCCCCATTTTGTTTTTATTTAAGCGATAAGCCGCGATGTTGCAAAATGGGAAACTTCACTGTAATAGTCAGATTTCATTGTGCTCAAGACTGATCCTGACTATGTTCAAAGTGATCTCACTGTTAAATTTATTGTCTGTGAGTAAGAGTTTCATCGTCTGATGTTTAGAAAAATGCAAAGTCATCATGGTTCTTCACCGATCCTGTCGCTGTGCGTTTGTTTGGAGCCAGGAAACTAACAATCAGCTGCAGATGCTTAAAAGTTAGATTAGTGCCAGAGGAAAACTGCATAATGACTGAGTTTGTGTCTGCAGCAATATATATATATATATATATATATATATATATAGATCCCATATATATTAAGGTCACTGTAAAGGCACATCTCTCCCAATAGGATACGTTGCAGGAGTATTATATGGACCCTGACCTGATCAACGAAGTAAATTTAGTCAATACAACAACACTTTATATAATATTCTCCACCTGCGTAATGTAACATGTTGAACAGGTGATAAAGTTGATTCAGTCCAAATAATCCACCGGTGGCTTTTTTATTCTAAGTAACTTTAGAGTAAATTAAATTGTTTTAGGAACCCATCACCTGCTTCCTTATAACCCAGAAATTAAACCTATCCAGTTCTATAAGAAAAAGGAAGTGTAACTCATTAAATATGCTGGTTTTTTTTAGATATAAAATACCGTGTTTCTGTCTTTCCCCTGAAGCGCTGCACAGGAGCTTTATGCCCATTTCCTTTTTGTGTGGATTCTGCTGCTGGATCTCAGCGGTGAACTGAAACCAGAACACTCTGCGTGACGTTGTTTCAAACCGCGATAAGGTTCATGATATCAGAAGCTTATCTGGCTGGCACAACCCACGCATTATTATAGCTCATTATTTTTGATTGGTCACATCGTTCCAGTCCATTACTGCCGCCTTTTACCAAAACTGCTGCACAGTGTCAACAATCTCTCCTCTGTCTAACACTGGATGTGTCAAACTACAGACTTCAGTTTCATAAAATCTGGTACAATGGAAAATAAATTCTTCCTTAGAACTATCAACCGTGACGGTGCAGTCTCTTGCCCTTTCAATGTATCAATTACTCAATTCATTTGATTTAATAATGCTCCCATGTTCCCCTTTTTTTTGCTTTCTCACTTTCAGTCTGATTAGAATCACTTCTCTCCTACTATATGTGGGAATAATTATGTAGTAATGTGTTTGGCTGCGTGCTTCCCCTTTATCTTCTCTTTTAGGAGGAGAACAAAGGCATGCACAGCCAGAAGATCGACAGCCTCCAAAAGATGTTAACCAAACAGCAGCTGGACTTACAGGTATGTGTGTGTGATATCGATCGTTGTGTTTCCTCTCGCGCAGTATTTATGAAGGGGATTGTTACCTCAGCTCCTGAGTAATGCTGATTGTGGATTGTTTATTTCATTTGTGGCTTATTTTTCTATCACGCTGGGATTTGTTTATTTGTGTTTAGGCAAAGGAGGAGGAGTGCGGCAGACACCCACGACCTAAGCTAGTGAAGGAGATCCAGGAGCAAAAGAAGTACATTTCACTGCTGCAGGAGCAGATCAGCAAAGCAATAGCAGCAATACAGGTGCTGAAGCACACACACACACACACACACTGTCACACACACACACACACACACTGTCACACACACACACACACACACACTGTCACACACACACACTGAAAAAATTAAGCATGTTGCTCCAGTTTCCATATTCCATAGTAAAGACAAATCACCATCCGCTTCAGCAGTTATTACAGGAAAGCTTCGTGTTTTTATCAAAGTTAAACAGCAGTAACTTTGTCGGCAGAGAAAAAAACTACAGCTATCATGAAGAAAGTATAAGCATGGGCGCTAAAGTCATCGTAACTTGGTTTCAGTTTCGTTCATATCCATAAAACTCATTGTCTGCTGTCTAAAAACGCCTCCTCTCTTAAGCCGTGGATCCATGGATTTAAACCTAGCATCATCAGATGCCCCTTTTTTACAGTGGACTTTTCCTGCTTAGTCATAAATAATAAATACATAAATAATCAAAAATTAAATTACTCAATAAACGCCTGGATGACCAGCCACTGCATGTAGAGTTTCCTCTGAGGACAATAATGTAAATAAACCTCCTCTCCTGTGTTTGAAATGATTCGTGTTTATTTGGAAAGCCTCAGCAGCCTCACACTGTTCGCCATGACAGAGAAGCATTTCCTGAATCTCCATCACTATCCATCATTAACACGGCCACAGTGATGAGAATAAGACGCAGGCTGAGAACAACTGGCACATGAAAGAAGTTGATTTAACCCTGTTCATCCATACATCAACTGCAGTTCTACTGGAGGTTTTACTCAGTAAATTCATCCTCATCTAATCACAGCTGCTCGACACATAATACAACAGCAGAAAAAAAGCAAAATCACCACTTAAAAATATGTTAAAGCTCTCGACATTTATTCTCTAAAGTATGAATTAAACTTCAGCTCCTCCCGCAGGTCACTGCAGAGCTCTTCAGTCGACGCGACCTTTGTTAATTGTTGCCGATAAGATCACGAACAAATTCTTATGTGCGTGTTTCAGGATGGAGTCACTGTGTCCAGGAACGGTGAGGCCGAGCAGGGGGACGGCGAAGCGACCTCGTCCTCGCGGGGTGACGGCGGTAACGACAGGCCCTCGACTAACAACAACTCTGTGGGTATAATGACGGAGCACGGCAAATAGTGTGGTGAACCAAATAACCCAGACGCACTTTGTACTTATGTGTGGTTTTGTGGCAGATTCCCGAGCCAGCGTTGACAGATTCGGTCAGTTACTTCGTTAAGTGATGAACAGACAGCAGTTTTGTAACTAATTAATTGTTTATCAAGCAAAAATGCCAGATACTCTCCAGTATCAGCTTCTCAATTTTGAGCATTTGTTACTTTTCTCTGTATGTCATAGTAATTTTCATATATTTGGGAAGTTAGGGGGAAACAATAATTAAAAGTAAAAAGAAAAATGTTTTTTTTTTGTATTTAAATTGATCTAGAAAATAACAAATTAATTCAAACTGGTTATTTTTGTTTCCATAATAACAGTAGTATAACAAAAAATAGAAATGCTATGAAATGCCTGTTAATGCACCAATGATACTTACAGTAAATTCAGTTTTAATTTCCTTTATAGATACCTGATACTTTCTGATAGATAATGCTGTATTTACATCTTCACTGTGTCTATTTAAGAGAATATTAACTATAAATAAGAATCTAGGTAAAATGATTCTGAACCCACAGTTGGTAGTAGGTTATATTATAGTATCTACAGGTGTTCCTCTCAGGCTGCCTTACTGCACCAACATGTCTGTGACCTGAAAGACAAAACTCAGGGGTAAAAAAAACCAACAAAAAAAAGCCCATGCATCACTCGCCTCATGACTCACTCCTGCTTGTTAAACTTGGAAACATGGAAACAACCGAAGGCGTCTCAGATGACCGGATCAACATTTTTATCAGCTCTAGACTCTGGACTGGACTTTAATAAGAAACTCAACCCGACACAATAGACTAAAAGTGAGGAGGGGGGGGCGAGGGGGCTTATATCCGCTGTCCCCGAAGGAAATGACGCCCCTTGTCAGACAAAACAAACAATCTGAAGATGTTGCCTTCAGTTGCATTGGGAAATTCTCACTATTTTCTTACAGTTTTAGAGATTGAACCATACACAAGTGAAGGGGAAGGGGCACGAGCTCGACGCTCTCTCTCTCTCTCTCTGTGTGTGTGCTTTGTGTTTGATGTTTGTTTTTAAGAAAGGAGCTAATGAACCGTGGATCAGGTGCTGCTGCTGCTGCTGACTGGGAAATGTTGTACCCACGGCCTGACGTTAAACACAGACAAAACAGAAAGCCCCTCTGAAAATACTGCTTACACAGACTTCCTTGTAATAACAAATAATCTTTTTATCACAACTTCTATAAATAGGGATGAAATGGTCTTATTTTCCAATCTCTGGGGATTTCCCAGTATTCAGCACCAGACTAAACAATCAATTTGGCTTAAGTGCTGTTGTGCTGCTGTGTGTGTGTGTGTATTAACGTGTATGTGTGTGTGCGTGTGTGTGCGTGTGTGTGCATGTGTGTGTGTGTGTGTGTATGTTTCGGTCTGGGTGTGTCTTTAGATGCACAGCAGCCCCCTCCCAGAGAGTCCCGGCAAAAGAGAGACGCCCTGTCAGAGCCCGGACGTCAGCCGCCGAGACGGACTCAACTCCTGCTCGTCGCCCGACACTGAGGACAACACTGACACTGTAAGACACACTCTCTTACACACACACACATACACACACACCTAGAGACACTGAAGTCAGGTTTTTTTTTATTCATTTTGATTTTGTAATAATTCTCTTTAAAGACATTTTCCAGCTTCAGTAAAAATTTTTCTTGAATACAAGTAAATGTAATTTAGAGCAACAATTTGTTGTTACTAAAGATGAGGACACACACAACGATCAGTGCATTTAACCCTGAATCTGTCACTCAGGACTCCAGCGCCCAGTGCATTGTGGGTAGCCCTCCCTACCTCCTCCACCCCCAGATCATTGGAGCGGAGGATGACTACTTTGACTCCCAGCAGGAGCAGGTATCTTGAGAAGTTTCTGATGGAATAGTGTGATGAGAAGTTGACTGGGTGCCACATTATCAGCATCAGCAGCGTTAAATTTGAAAATATGGAAACAATGGAGAAAAATACGGAACAAACAATGACGCAGTCACCGAAGTTCAAAAAAAGATTTGTTGTTTTCGGGCTGATTGATTCACACCAGAAATTCTCAACCAAAAACCAAGTAAGAGGAAATTGGAAGTTAAATTATATAGTTAAGAAAGAATGTTCAAAATTTGCTGTTTAGATAAATCATTAAGTTTATCAGCCTTTTCTGTCATGTGACTCTCACTCGCTCTCTCTCTCTCTCTCTCTCTCTCTCTCTCTGTCAGATTAATGGACAGTGCAGCTGTTTCCAGAGTATAGACCTGCTGAAGTCTCGGCCGGCTCACCTCGCAGTTTTCCTCCATCATGTCGTCTCGCAGTTTGACCCTGTGCCTCTGGTACACACACACACCCCCACACACACACACGCACACACACACACACACCCACACCCACACACACACACACACACACATACAGTGCTTCTTTAAACCATCAATGTACTGGGCTGCTTCTAAATACTTTCCCACTTCCCTTCCCCTGTCTGAGGCTCCTGTCTCAGTCCATTGGTCCATCTTTAAACACAGCTCATAAATATATAGTTTTATTTTATTTTAAAGGCTCAATAACTTCCTGTAGCAACAGATCAGGGCTGGTGTTGTATCTCATTAATGTGTTTTAAATAGTTTATGGACTTGTCAGTAGGATCAATTCAGTGTCGCCTTTGGTCTCTACATTGATTTATTGACTATAAGAAAAATACAGAATATTGAGTCATGTGTTTTTACATTATAGATGTTCAAATTCAGTCTGAGTACCGCTTCGTGTGCACAAATAGTTTTCCTTAGTGTTGTCATACTAAATGAATAAATAAATAATGCACTGCTGCTGAAAACAAAAAGACATATGAATAAGAGTCAGCAGCTTAATATTGTGACGAGATGATGTTCATTGGTTCATGTCTCTCCCCTCCCCTTCGTAGCTGTGTTACCTCTACGCCGACATGCACAAACAAACCAGCTCCAAAGAAAGCCGACGCTTCTTCATGGAATTCCACTCACTCTTCATGGATCGAACAGCCGTGAGTTACTGCGCTCTCTTGTTTTTTTTCTCCCTCAGTCCATTTCTTCTCCCTTTGATCAAGTTTTCTGATTTTTTTTAAAAAATTGTTTTATTGCTTTTTTTCCCCCCAGAATCTCAAAGTACCGGTGCCAGAGACAATTGCGTCTGAACTGGGTATGAAATAGAAAGAGGCTTAAATGTATCTCTGTAACACTGAGTACCACAACATCTAAATCAGTGGGCTACAGGTGCTAGTGTCTCCAGTCTGTTGTTACCTGCTTTATGATTTGTATTGATATGAGTTTTTCCAATATAAATTTTCACTATATCATCCTTTTGCTTTTTAAAATAGATATAAAATAAATCTAGATTACAAATCTAGTTCACAGTGTTGGACAGATGCATAGATGAAGTGGTTTGTTGAAGGTAAAAGTTGCAATAAGACGTCCCTAGGCTGACTGTTTTTGTGTGTGTGTGTGTGTGTGTGTTTGCGTCCACACAGAGAAGCGGAGGCTGGAGTTAATCCCGGAGGAGCTGTGCAAACAGTACACCCAGGTGTTACAGGACACACTCCTACCTGACCTGCACAAGAACCTGGAGGACTTCAGGTGAGAGTCACATCACTGTTGAAAACGACCGTTGTCACGCGGTTACATCTCTGTGAGGTGTAACTCGTGCGTGTTGTGTTTACAGACAGAAGCGCAGCATGGGTCTGACTCTGGCTGAGGACGAGCTGTCCAAGATGGACGTGGAGCGAGGGAAAGACCAGCAGGCCTTGGAGAAGGAGTGCTCCTGTGCCGAACACATCATCTCCAAGATAGAGGACATCCTGTGAGTCTACATTAACACAAAGACATGCGCATGGACTCGGATATTCAGTTCCCATATTCCTTGCATGGTTGTGTGTGTGTGTGTGTGTGCTAACCTGGAGTTGCCTGTTACAGGTTGACGTCACAGCCCTCAGAAGACGAGAAGTGGTAAGAAGCTGTAGAGCATCCAGGGTGGTGTCTGTTTTTGGAGAAGTGTTTTAGTTTCTGTTCAGATATTTTAACTTCAGAAAAAAAAACATCTTCTGTTCTTAAATTATAGGTAGAGATTAATAAAATGTAGAGTTGCACCCTACAGATTTGTAAATATTTTGTTTCTGCTCCTGACTGCGTGTCCTGTCATGTCGCAGCCAAACGATGCAGTACGTGATCCTCACCTACATGAAGCACCTCGGGGTGAAAGTGAAGGAGCCTCGCGGCCTCGAACACAAACGAGCGCGAATCAATTTCCTGCCCAAGATTAAGGTGCGACGTCTTCTCCAGAAACACGCAGACACAAACACGTTAAATCATCTATTTAGTTAGCTGTCGAGCTAATTGTGTAAATGTAACTTTGATTTTACATTATACTGTGATGCAATATAAGCGAAAATATAAAAATAATAGGTGTATGACTATGAATTAAAGCTGGGCGATAGATCCACTGTGCCTGATACATCAGATAAAATACCTCACACAGGTAGAACAAAAATGTAAATAACTGATTTGATTACTTTTCATCATCAATCATCAGTTTGAATGATAGCACAGTATCCACTGCGAGTCAAATAACTGCTCTTCCGTGGTCTCACGGTCTGTTTGAAACGCACCACGATGCCCTTTAAGACAAATGTGTGTCGTTTTCACGAGCAGAAGAGCATCAAGCCTGAGAAGGAGGGTGAGGAGAAGGTGAAAAAGCCTCGGTTTCCCAACATCCTCGGCCCGCCAAGGCGCCTGAGCAGAGTGGATTCAACTTCAGGTGAGGATGAAACTGCAGTTTTAACCCTTTTTAACTTTTATCATTTAATGCAGACTGAGGTTTTGTTTTGTTTTTTGCAGCTGTAACAAACCAGTCCTATCTACTGAGTGTGTTTTTACATACATATTATCAGTGTTTTGTGATTTCAATATTTGTTTGTCCGTGTTTCTTCTCTGCTGTTGTACATGTGTGTGTTTGGGTGTGTGTGTGTGTGTGTGTGTGTGTGCGCAGTCGGTAAGGCCGTGGAGCTGAACAAGCAGCGGTCTCCAAAGCAGCTCTCCCAGCCGGCCTTCGGTATCCTGGAGCAGTCTGACTCCTCTGCAGCGAATTCTGGATCACGGATCCGTGGAAATCAGCTCAGCGAGGGATCGGACTCTGGTGCCCAAGTTTTGCCTTCCCCGACACACAGCTCCCCCATTGGTCAGGCCTCAGATACTAGCGGACAAGACTCAGACTCCAGTAAGAAATTCCTGTTTCTCTTTGATCAAAGTGTTTTTTTTATTCCCAAAAAAAGACAAAAAAGACATATTTTCAGTCCTAATCCCCAGGTTGGGAACTACTGTCCTAGGTAATGTCACTCGTTACTGTGAGGGAGTATCAGGGCCACGATTACCTACTGTTTTTATTTAAAAAGTAACATCATTCTCAAAATATTATGACTTTTTCTTGTTATTGCAACTTTTTTGTCTCATAACATTATGAATTTTTACTTTATTCTTGACATTTTTTTTTCTTAACAGTGGACTCTGTTGTAGTCGTAGGATCATGAGACCACAGGAGATGAACACATGAGCAGAACAGATGCACTAAAAGTCACACTAGGAGGCAGAGAGCTGTACCACAGCAGGTTTTGATGAAATACAGTCAGGTTACTCCGGACTAACTCCTAGCAGAATAACAGTAGTGTGATAATAAGTTATTATTTTTTTTACCATTTTCTTATAACAGTTATAAAGATATGGAAATACAGGTGTATTTGCAGAGGTTCTAGTTCAGCAACTGTGCAAAAGTTAAAAGGTTACATCTTTGTTTTTCTGTTTTTCAGGCTGAATTAATAATAAAATGAACGGATGATAAACGGAACCATCAGTCAGACGTTTTCTTCATGATCTCGATATTACTACTGTTCTTCTCTTTACTCCACAGATGTGTCTCCGTTCTCCATTCAGCCCAGACCGGGCGAGGGTCTGCCGTCCGGCGACCAGCAGGACAGCGTCTTCAGTCCGACCAGCATGCAGTTTGACTTCAGCCCCTCCAACCTGGAGCAGTTACAGGAGGAGGATCAGGAGGCGTTCAGGTATTTACAGCGTTTAGATTTTTCAGGGACACAAAAGAGAGGAATCGAAGTTGGTGCACTGAGAGAAAGTTATTGTTTATTGTACTACATGTCGAGCATGTAGTACAATGGGCTGATGTCTATTTTCAGAAATTTCAATAATACCTCAGACCTATTTTAAAACTGCACAACAGAAGGCAAGAACGGACATTACATATTTGTCATAGCAGCTGCAGCAGAAAAACAGAACATTGAACAAATAATCCATCATAGCAGGAGAGAATGTAACATGAATGTTATCAAAATAATTAATGATAATGATGATTAATATTATATCACTTTTCTTCTCTCTGTTTAATGCAATAACTAAAGATTAACATGACAGCAGTGGCTGGAAGAGGCTGTAAAATCCCCAAATCTTCCCCTTTCTGCTTCTCCAGTAATCTTTTTTTTTTGTAAAAGTCTCTCTCCCTCTGCGTTCGGTCGGCAGCAGGATGGAGGTTCAGTGTGCGGCGACTTCGGGCGACACCCAGAGTGAAGACGACCAGGGAGGTGAGGTGGAGTGTGAGGAGGATCCTCTGAACTGGCAGAGTCTGGTCAGCCGAGGCGTCCTGGCAAGCCTCACGCCGCAGGAGATCAAACGGCAGGAAGTCATCAACGGTGAGCGGACGACACTTTTCACACACATTTCAGAGTGCGACACGAAAATGATCAAACCGTATATATATTCACATCATACGCGTTCACCCCGTCCGCCCCTCAGAGCTGTTCTACACTGAGCGCGCCCACTTACGGATGCTGAAGGTGCTGGACTGTGTCTTCTACCAGAGGCTGAACAGAGACAGTATCCTCCCCGCAGAGGACATCAAACACATCTTTATCAACCTGGAGGAAATCATTCAGCTGCATGGTAACTTCACTTTACTGCTCTTCATGCCACAGACGACTGAGCTTATCAGAAAATGTATTTGACTTTAATTACTTGATTTTCTCTCTTCCTGCTTTTCCATCTTCACTCACAAAATTGAAATAACCTGAAAACATATCTGATCGTCATGATGTACCTATAACCAAATACAAGTCGGCGTCAAACCTGATACAGATATAATTTAATGTTTTCAATAGAAGCTGCTGAATTTCTGTGTTTTTACAGTGTGAGATTCTGACGCTAAAAGCCTGTGGACTTGAGCTAACTGAAGGTTATTTTCAGAGCCACAGAGCTCGTTATAAAGATGATAATGTGATATAAAAATGAATGACCAAGGCCACCAACCCAACCAAGCTCATTTGCATATTGAGATCTGATCACAGTGAAGGCAGAATTTAGAATAACGTGAACGCTTATCAATACCAGGTGTAAATTTATCCAGATAATGTTTCCGGACACAGATTGAATATTAGTACCAGGTGTAGTCAGAAGCTTAGGGCACAGCTGCATGTCATGTCATCATAACATATATGTGTAATGTGTAGAAAGTGACTGGAAACAAACTGGGTCGGATGTTGAAATCAGAGAAGGAGGAGGAGGTCTGAGCAGAAGGGTCACATGGTTTGATATTAGTGTGTTTTATAAAAGTGTCACAAAACATGAACTTTAAATCTAAGAATTGTCGTTTAGGAGAACAACGAGGTGCTGAAAGTTGAATTTCTTCTCACTGTTTCTCAACAGTTTCTATAACGGAGCAAATGACAGCAACCAGGAAGAGGAGCGAGACATCGGTGATCGGTCAGATTGGAGATGATCTCCTGGCGTGGGTAAGACCGGTTTCAGTTCATGCACAGGAGGCAAATGAAGGGTACTCTTATTGTAAAGTGGTACCACTATCTCATTTTATTTTTTATTTGTTTATTTGACAGGGACAGTATTCACTGGTCAACAGCCAGTATTAGCTTAAACATTTTGTCATAAACTTCACATTAAAAACATAATAAAGATGCACAAAATTGTAAAGTGCACATCAGCTAATAAATAACTAAGCATTTACTTGACTCTGGATAAGAACATTAGGAACAGGAAATACCTCAAATGTAATTCTCGGGTGTAAATGTGTTGACTGCAGTTCAGCGGGGAGGAAGAGGAGAAGATAAAAAGAGCAGTGGGAACTTTCTGTTGCAACCAACCGTCTGCGCTGGAGCTCATCAAGACCAAGAAGAAGAAAGACCAGAGGTTCCACTTATTCATGCAGGTCAGCACAACAGATTACACCACGCTCTGCTGTCAGGGCGGGAGTTTGTTTGTTTTGGCAGGACAATCCTGATAATTTGAGACAAACAGCAGATGATGACTGGTATGTGAAGAATCTGACCAGTTTATTTTTGCAGCACCGTACATGTGGATACAGTGAATTTATTACTGTAGTTTGGATTCTTCCATTCAGGAAAAAATATATTTTCCTCTTAGTAATGTGAAGGAGTTAATTGTATAATGAGTATTTAATTTCATTTTGACCTTGGAAATAACAGTTTGACAAAATAATCTAAATGAACCTTGAGCAAATTATTTTTTTTGTTAAACAATTATCAGCAAGATCAAGAATCCAGTTTGATGCTTAACTGTCTACTGTTGAATAATTTCACTCTGTTGTGATACATAAAGGGTTTTAATAAAACAACTAATATCATCACTGAAAGTAGAAAGAAGAGTCTATGTAAGACTCAGTGTTTTACAGGTTCAACCAATTTCCACCTTTTTTTCCCCCAAAACTTTCCTGCTGCAAGAAGACACAATCAACTATCATCACTTTAAGTCATCTATTTTTATTAATCTTCGGGCAACTTGCTCTTGCTTCTAATTACCATTTGAGACTTGGAAAGATTTTATTTTCCAGCCTGTAGGTGCATGTTGATTTATGTATATTGCTTCACATGGGTACGTGTACATTTATTGTACGTACTCGGCATCACAAGGGAACCAGTGGGTGTAGGAGTGGCGAGGCCTGGGAGAGCTTTTGTCTGTGTATGTGTGAGTGTATTTGTGCTGATTTGAATGATTGTATTTTCTGTATATTTGTGTTGTATCGTGCTAATAAATATTGATATATGTTATATATTATATGTATGTTGTATATATATTGTTATAATAAATGTTAGATATGTTTATTGTATTATATGTTATGCGTTACAAGCTCCTTATTCCACCTCATTGTCTTCAGGAAGCTGAGAGCAACCGTCTGTGTCGCAGGCTGCAGCTCAAAGACATCATTCCTGTAGAGATGCAGAGACTGACCAAATACCCACTGCTACTGGACAACATTGCTAAGTACACAGGTATAAACATTTTGGCATTTTTGAGTAATTGACCAAAGGAGAATGGCAGATGTTTGTTTTTTTCATCACCATTTTTGTTTGTTTGTTTGCTTGGTTTATCTTCCCACAGAGGATGGTGAGGAGAGGCAAAAGGTGAAGAAAGCTGGCGAATGCTGCAAAAAGATCCTCAACCACGTCAACCAGGCCGTGAAAGAGGCAGAGAACAAACAGGTGCAGGCATCAGGATCACAGTAGAACATATGTCAGTTAAAATGCGTTGGCTAAAAGTCAGTTAAAAGTGCTAATGACCAGTGGTTAACGAGCTGTGTTCTTTCTCAACAGAGACTGGAAGAGTACCAGAGAAGGTTAGATCTCTCGTCTCTCAAACAGAGCGAGAACCCCATGATCCTGGTCCTGAAGGTAACAAACAAACAAACAAACAAACAAACAAGCAAACAAACAAACAAACAAACAAACCAAACAAAACAAAACCAAGCATGATAAACAAATAATGTTGGATACATGGCAGTGTAGTAGGTTTTTATTATTGGCCACTGCGGATGAATATCCAGTCACGGGAGAGATGGCGAGATGCTGAGGTTATTAATGAAGCTGCGCTCTTTGTTGTATTTTTTATTTTTTTCCTGCAGAATCTGGACCTGACCAAGAGGAAGATGGTTCATGAGGGACCTCTCTCCTGGAAAGTCAATAAAGACAAGGCGATCGGTACATAAACACATGATAAACATGAGAGAATAACATTGAGGAAAACACAGTAGGAACTTTCCACAAGTGTATGAATAAAGAAGATTGAAATAAATATCAATCATAGAGACAGTTAAGTTAAACAGATAGTTAATTTGATAATGAAATGAAACCTTTACAAAACAACAGCCCAGGTTTACAGCAGTACCCTCCACACACACACACACACACACACACACACACACACACACACACACACACACACACACACACACAGTTTTATATCACCAGTGTTTTCCTTTCAGAGCTGTACACAATTCTCCTGGAGGACATTCTGGTTTTACTGCAGAAGCAGGACGAGCGTCTGATCCTCAAGTTCCACGGCAAGAATGTGGCGAGCGCCGCCGACACCAAGCACATCTTCAGCCCCATCATCAAACTCAACACTGTACTGGTTCGTCCCGTGGCGACTGGTGAGAGCTGCACTCACTTAAAAAATGTTTTTTAGTTTTGTGTTTTGCGCTTCGGTTTTATGTGCTGAACTTTTTCTTGGTTCAGTGAATCAGGGCAGAGATGTCCGTCTGTCTCAACAGCCACTGGATGGATCGCTGTGAAACTTTATTCATGTTCCCCTGAGGATGAATCCTAAGAATATCTGTGATTCCCTAACTTTTCATCTTCAACATGAGGTTCACAGTTTTAAATTTTTGGTGAAATATCGCAACAACTATTGTTGGGAATATTCCCTGCCCCCAGAGGATTAACTCACTGTGGTCATCCCCGCCCTTTTTTATCTGGAGCTACCAGCAGGTCAAAGTTTTCAAAGGGATATTGCTGAATATCTAAAACACTAAATTACTAAAACATTAACTTCATGTTTCCTTGGATTTGACTTTGATGACTTTTCATCTAGCGCATTTGACATTTGTGGTTTTGGGTGAAATCATTGGATCGTTAGCTGTGAAATTTGACACGTTCATGTTCCCAACAGGATGAACTGTAATAACTTTTCTCTTAAAATCTTCAATATCTTGCAATAGCATGCTAACAGGCTAAACTAAGATGGTGAACTTTGTAGAAATTACCTGCTAAACTTTGTCATTGTGAGCACGTTAGCACGCTGACATTAGCTCAAAGCGCTGCTGTACCTAAGCACGCCGTCACACAGCTGCTAGCTTAGCTCTTCTTGCTCCCTTAATGTTTCACGTTACTTGCTGTGTCTACGTTAACTATCATGTGATATGTGCGATAATCACTGCTGCATTTTCGTTCTCTTCAGACAACAAGTCTTTCTTCGTGCTGTCCATGTCGGAAAACGGGGCTCAGATCTACGAGCTGATGGCTCAGACGGTGTCCGATCAGAGAACGTGAGTCTTCCACCACAAACATGGCGACGTGTCCCCTGTTTGTCTTCTGTCTCATCCTGCTGTATCGCCTCTGTTCATCCAGGTGGCAGTGTCTGATCACACAACGCGCCGAGGCCATGAAGGCCAAACCTCACAGCAGCGGCACGCCTCCAGCTCAGTCTGAGTGAGTCCACTAACGCTGCTCACTGATGTTATTGCTAGATCTTTTTCTTTTCCATTGTTTCTAATGTGATTAATTCTAATTTTTCAGTGCTGAGCGGGACGCTATAGAGATCATCAACCGTGGGATACCCAGGCCGTGCAAAGACGCTAACGGGACATCGAGTGGAGGTATCCACTCGACAGGCAGCTTTCAATGTTTCTATCAATGCTGAAAAGATTAGTCGATTAATCGTTATTCATTTTGGCAAATTGGCACCAAAAGTTTGCCACATTGTGAATTTCTTTTTTTTTTTTATCTTTACAGACTTACAATGAAAAATTAATGAATATAAAAATTGAAATTAATTACTACTTTGTTTATATTCATCTGTTTCCTCAGCGGAATCTTTGAATTAGAAATTGATGTGCAGTATGTCATAGTTTTAATTATTTTTATTCAAATGATTAAATGTCTTATATACTTACAGTTAAAATGTTTTTTATTCCAAAGTAAATTATCTCCCTCTAAATTCAAATCTCAATTCATTCCAGATAAAGATGCCACCTCTTCTCCAGACATTCAAGCTCCGCTGGCGAGTATCAACCCCTTCGATGGCATGAAATCAGAGGACGAGGAAGAGGAGCCGGCTGTGGCCGACCGACGGGAGGAAGAGGAGGAGGATGAAGAGGTGGACGAAGCAGAACTAGAGGCCTTCCTGGATGGGCAGCTCGCGGACAGACTGCCCTTCCTGCAGCAGGAAGGGTCACGTCGGGGCATCGCCATTGAAAACCAAGAGCACAACGCGTTCGGCGCAGCCTCCTCCAAAGCTGAGGACGCTCTGCAGACATGTAAGTTCCACCTTAAAGGGTCACTTCACCCAGATTGTTTAAAAATATATATATATATATATATGTGTTCAGGTTTTGAAACTGTGTTCTTGGAAAATTGAAAAGCCACATCAGTGAATAACACATCTTGTGTCTGTTCTAGTGGCGATGCTCAAACAGGCTCTTTTCAACCACATGATGAGCAGAGAGGCAGAGGAGGAGAAAGAGGAGACAGAGGACAACAAGCAGAGCGGGGCCCCTGTGTGTCAGCTGAGTGCCTCCTCGCCTGGGAGCCCTGAGGGGGCTTCTGCTGCACGCGATGAGAGCCGAGCGTCTGCGAGTTCACAGAAAGACGACCCGCAGCTCCCTCCTGGACACACAGGCCTGTCCGAGACGACTGAACGCAACGGTGAGGGAATCTTTAAAAAGGTTTTCTGTGTGGGTCTTTAACTGTTGTACTGAATAATTACGACTTAGTTTCATATATATATATATATATACTGTATATACTTGCTGAACAAATCCACCTGCTGCATCCTGTCCATCCAGGTGGTTTTGTGGTTCTGGATTTCAGCGTGGGCTCCGAGGAGAGCAGCACTGATGATGATGTGGGGTTAGGGGGTGACATGGGGATCGACATGAGGAAACTGCTGTCCTCCTCCTCGCAGACAGGGGGCGGCGGCGGCCCCAACCTCAGCCGGCAGCTTATGACCCACCTGCGGCTCCTCCAGGCCGACCTGCAGTATCTGAAGGTACAGCACGCTTTACTGACAGCCAGGCTCCATCCCAACGTCACTGGCTCCTTTAGATTAAGGTAGACCCGACTGGTGACCAGCTAAATCACTATTTAGTAATTAATTATGATAATAATTGGCCTGAGCAACCGTGGTCTGATTTTACGCTGCACATGGCATGAGTCTGTGAACAGCAGGGCACAGTGAAAGGCGTTGGTCACCTGGCTGAGGAGTTGGAGGTGTGCAGCCTTTTTCCACGACTCCCTTCAATATTTCAAACTGACCCACTGTCAAAAAGGGCAGAAAAAGTTTTTTGCTTAACAATGGCAGTAAATGCTAAGCTCACTTAAATGCTTTTAATTTGAATATGTAATATTGTAATACTTTCATCATGGCTCAGTCGCCATTGTGTTACCTCATTCAGCAGTAGAAAGTAACGTAAGAGACATCTATTTAAATGAAAGTGTTCTTCAACATATGAACCACATTTTGTTGTAATGGTCTGTAATGTTCCAGGAGGTGGAAATGAAGTACAACGAGCTGCGACAAACACACACCGACGCGGCCGCCGACTCCGACGACAACAACGGTGCGTTTCACTTCTCTCGGTCACTCGGAGCAATCCGATCGTTTTTGTACATTTACCGTCTCAAACACTGTGTCTCTGATGTTTCTCAGATGGGATTCAGTGATGACGACGCTTGTCGCTCTCCTGGTCGCACGAGTCAAGTTGCTCCATGATCGCTTTCTTCTGGATCAATCTTCAACCACTGAACACTGCTGTCGCTCAATAATGGAGGCTTGAATGTCGAGTCTCACACTTCAGGCACATATGACAATCAGTGGAAGACTTTATCACAATGAAGGTTCCACTTTAAACTCATAATCCTTGAACCAACCGGGGGCAGACTCGCTCCTGAGAAGAGACGCTATGGGATTACCTGAGGATAATTCGGTCACTTGTTGCTATGACAATAGTAATCAACTTCATAAGTTATCTTAAACACTGGATATATGAAACGGAAAAGGGCGAGTCAAGTGTGCGAAGTCACGCAGATGCACAGCAGAGACACATTGAGAAATGAAACGAGACTGTGACGGTGACCAGACAGATTAAAAAGTAGACTGACTCGTTCAGGGCTCAGAGCACTGCTGTAAGCTTGATGTAAATGTCTGCGATAAGAGATGAGCTAAACCTCACGCTACAGAGTTGAATATGCTTAAAGATGCACTTCCTTATTGAGTAACAGCCCTGAAAAAACAACTCAACACACTGATTGTGTTTTTTAAATTCAGCAACATTCATGGAAATTGTACAAGAGGCTCTAACATACATTCATACCATCCCCCAAAATCTCCAAAAGTCTTTTAATGTTTTGTCTTTCGCCCTGTTTTACATGAAACTGGCCCGAGTCTGTCTAAATCTCACCACCTGACATGTTGGATATTTTTTTTGTTTAATTCATACAAACACAAAAGTTAAAATGACAGTTTGTGGTTTATTTGCTCAAACTATTTTTTTTATTTTTTTTTACATGTTTGAATTAAACAAATGCAGTACAACATTTTAATTATTGAGTTTACAGAGCCAGATTAGCTGTTTCCCTGCCTGTGCTGCGTTCATGCAACATCAACAGAGTGGGAAGAAGAGGAAAACCTCCTGTTTCCTCCAGCTCTGGAGCAAAACAGATAAACTTCCTAAATTAACCTCCTTCGTTGCGCCACATTTGTAGCTGTTTACAAACAAGTGAAATTTTATTTGGATGGGACTGCAGTGGATGCTCTTCAGCCATGTTGCTATCAGTTTGTTGACATGTCTGTTGGTTCCTTTCACCAGTTCTTCCGACTTGTAGGTTGATGTAAAGTTTTTTTTCTCCCAACTTAATTTCGATCTGAATGATATGACATGAACGCAGCATTAATGTCAATCGTCTTATCACGCTCTAAGAAAGAAAGCAAATGACCATATTTCTCAACATTGTGAATTATTCTTGCAAGCACCTGAAAAAAAAAAGCGTTAAAAGAGACGTGTACAGGCAGAAATCCTCATTTCTAGTTCAGGTTTATAGAATCATCAACATTTTTTGGGGGGAAAAAGCTGCAAATTTCCAAAGAATAATTGTCCTACTTGCGAAGCTACAGCCTCTGACAGTAACAGTACCTACTATTTGTTTACTGGCTGTCTTTAACTGCCCGAGCAAATAGCATACAAATATAATGCTGTTTAGCATTTGACTTCCTGATTTGAAACTTCCTATAGCACTTGAATGTAGCATAATATGGCAAACACATGAATAAGTAATGTTGAGATCGTAGATTCAGATCACTCTGTCTACAGTGAGACAAATTACAAATGACATGACTTGACATGTTGGTGTTTTAAAGAATCACCGTTGTTGTAATGGAGTATCAAACACTGCAGCTAAAGAAAAGAAACGTTGACTTTGTGTATAACTGCTGGAGCACATCACACTATATAACAGATACAAGCTTTTCACAACGTGTGCACAAAGTGAAAGCAATTGATCGAACTTCGTTGCTGAATTTATTTTCTATTTGTATTCCAGTCTTGTTTTTCTCTTGCTCTCCTCCATGTTAGTTTGCGCGGTGAGGTGACCGACTAACCCGAGTGACGTTTGTCCCCGACGAACGCTGAAAACAAACTGAATCTGTTTCCTCCTGAAACATTTTGAGGGCGTTTTTCTTCAGGATCCTTCATGTTTTCTGCAACAAGCTCTTCATAAACGCCATCCTCAGCTGGTGACGTCAACCCCGTTATACGTCCCTATGCCTTTAGGTACAAGCTACAGAAATTCACTCATCAGCCCGCTGCACTTCACTTTCATGTTTGGACTGAAAACACTCAAATATTCACCGGCCATAAGACTGCATAGACGACATCATGGCTTTGACTTTTGGACAAAATATAAAAAAAAAAGAAGAAAAAAAAGACTAACCTGAAAAGTATATATAAACAAAAAGGATTGTAATGGACTGTTTTAAATGTAAAAGAATATAATGTACAATTATTACTGTTTATCAAATGTTTTGTCTGTTGTTGTTGTTGTTGTTGTTGTTGTTGTTTTGTTTTTTTTACACAATGCAGTCATGTAATGTTTTAACACAAACTACTTAAAACAAGGGTAAAGTAACCAACTGCATTCATTTGTTTTACAAAAATGTTATAATTTTATTACATTGCTATTAACCCAGTGATCATGTTTGCGGTCTTTGTTGAGGAAAAACAAAACGACTTATTTTAAAGAGGAAAGAAGATAATTTGACTGAAAAACAAAAACAGAGTGTCACCTCATTTTAATTGGCCTCGTGTGGAGAGTTGAGTTGTAGCATTAAAGGAAGAATCCACTCTGAAATGAATAGGAAAGCATCAGTTCCTTTACAGAACCATGTACATTACACCTCATGGCAAAAATGTAATCCTCAGTGAAGTTAAGTTTTGATTGTTTTCATCACACGACAGTAAGATTTGGGACCACAGCTGTAGTGAGTCGTTACAGCAGCAGGACCGTGTATGAGGGATTCATTAAAAATAAACACATTCATTGAAATGAAGAAACATTTATGTACATGGCAGCTGTGGTTACATTTGGTTACTTCTGTGTTTTTAATACCAAAGCTTTATTTTAGGAGCGCCCCGGTGGCTCACCTGGTTTTTGTCAAGCATGTTATCTTTTAGCGCAAAATCAGACTGAGATAGAAAACAAGTATATGATGTGGTGAAAGTAAAAGTTCCTATTATTGGCTTATTACATAATATGGGAAAAAATGAAATGAAAGGAGTTTTTAAAAGTTTTTTAATGTTTTTAAAGATAATTTCATTTAAAACATTTAAAAACATTATTTATATATTCTTTTAACTTACTTTTCTGTTTTGCAAATAATTTGTCGACCCACTTGCAATACCTTCCCGACCCCAAGGTTGGGAACCACTAAGCTACATAATACCTGATTCTGTCCCAGCTAGAAACGTGTTACAGTAAAATACTGTTCAAGTGAACACAGGTTTGTTTGACTGAGGTAAAGTGTGGCTGTAGCAACAAGAAAAAGTGAATCACAGATTTTAGTCCTGGAGTAAATCTGGCATGTGTATCTGGCAGTTAAGCCGCGAGTACTTCTGCTGCTTATAGACAAATAATTAAGCTTTAGCGCATCCTTACTTTTTTGTTTTGCACATGAATGTCAGTGAAAACAACCGCTCCAAAGAAAACCAGAACATTTACAAAACACACTTGGTAAACAAGAAAAACTATCTGGCATATTTTCTTTTGTCCAGATGCAAAAGCTTTTTGAGGGTTTCCTATCCAGTGTTGATGCGATGCTGAAAGGTGCTACATTTTGAACATAAGTATATCATTATTATTGGTTGTTATAAGTTGGTATAACAGCCATGGAAATTATGATTAGTGCCTTTACTGCAGCAGAGTGTTACGTCTTTAAAGGACAAAGTTGACAGAGTTTCATTCTACTTCACTCTCTGTGTGTGTAAAACAGTTGAATAAGGCCATGTTCAAACTTTAGGTGTGAAAACACCCTAAAAGTAGCCCTTTTAAATGATTAACCTTCCTCTGATGAACCTCAGTTTATTTTCTGCAGTGCTCTGGAGGATATATCTTTTGTCAAACAGTTTGGAAATCCAGCAGCGGCCCTTTGATCGGCAGTGATTTTGAAAACTCCTCCTAAGCTCCTGGCTTCAAAAACATGTCCCCTGCAGTGCAAACATTGTACTGTAAGTTCCTATTTCAAGCCATAAAGCAAAGCAAGGCTGGTGCAAGGTGGTGATAAACATGTTTTTTTGGATATTAATACTATATATGATGAAAATATGTAGTAATGATGCTGCAGTATATAGCACCTTTAAAGCTGCAGAGGCCCATGTATGGACAGACAGAGAACACAAGTTGTGAGGCCCTTCACTCCTTCAGTCACTCTTGTCTGAGTGTCCGTCCAGTTTTCGTGTGTTGATTTCTTTGAGCTTCTGGTTCTCTATCCACCGTTTATACTTGGCTCTACTTTTCTTGTAGCCGAATCTGGCTATGTCCACCATGAACACCCAGGCCAGTCCGTACATGACCACGCCGCCGAGCTTCATTATCAGTGAGGTCCTGGGAGACGTGATCTCGCAGTAGAACATCACCGTGCCAACTCCCACGCGCACAGTGGCGAACAGCAGGATGAAAAGCAGGTCCACCGCGTCGCCCAGCAGGCTGTCGTACAGGCCCAGCTGGCGGAGGAACCAGCGGGTCTGCAGCAGGGGATTGGTGATCTCGCTGCCGAAGACAACCCCGCAGGTCTCGCAGCCCGACACTCCCATGAGCAGCGCCAGCAGGATGCCCAAGATGCTGGCGGCGTGGTGGGCCATCATGACGGGGCCCTCCGTGCGGTAGCATACACACCAGCCGATGTCAAAGAAGAAGTAGCCGAGGCAGACGGCCAGGGCGAAGATCTGCAGCTCGGTGTTCTCCGTGCCTGGAACAGACAGGAACAGGGTCGGATGAGAGAGAGTGTAATGTGAAGAGTAAGGGTTCAAAGTCAAATTCCTGCTTTGACCCATAACGCAGTTATTATTCTGACTGAGCCAAAACAGTAAAGTTGTGAGCTGCAAAGACAAAACAATGAGCTAAAAAATGAGAAAATGATCCACTGCTCTGAGGGAAGCTGCAGAGTCTGACGGCCTCTTTCACGTTGCATGTCGTCATTTGATCCATTGTTAATATACAAATATAAACAAGTGCAGCTTTAAGTGTGTGTGTAACACAAGGGAAAAACTCAGGCGAGATGTAAACTACATATTGTAAATAAACTGCGAAATGTGAAAAATTACAATGTTATCGTAGATTTAGATTTAGATTTTCAAGATTACATTATCATTTTGATAAAGTCCCCGACAGGCTTCCATGATGACTTTAATATTTGACTTTAATAATGACTTTAATACTTAGAATTTCAGTCTGTTATTTTTCTGCACTTTGAGGATGGAACACTGAGTTAAAGTCACAAAGCTGATCAGTGAACTGGTGTGTTACTACACTTATCACTGCTTTTAAATTGTTAGTTGCTCCGTGTCCCTGCTGAACATCCATGTGGAGTTAACACTGTGTTACTGAGCTCGATTAAACCTCGAGTGAGGACAGTAGGCCACTAATAGCACTAACCGTTATTTATAGCCTTTTTAAAGCACTTGCAGAATGATTTACAATCAACATAATCTCACAGAGTCATAACATTTTTTTTTAATATGGGAACCTAAGGTGCATTTAGTTTGTTTTTGTATATATTGCTTATCACCTGATACTTGCTTTACACCACTGACCTGCATGTGTGAAGGGCCAGGGTCCGTCTACAAAAACAACATACGCCGTCAGCATCACTATGACGACCCCGTGGCACAAAGTGACCAGGCGACAGCTCCACTCGGGCCCCCGCTGAGTGAAGGTACAGCAGAACAACAGGTAGAGACACAGCCAGCCAATCAGGCTGCAGATCACCTCCAGTACTGGCATGGCTGTCTGTGTGGAACGATGGGACTCATTTCAACATCACAGATCAAGCTCATATCCTCAGCCTGTTGTGCTTTCTTTTCATTGTGTCAGTTTTAATCTTCATGCATATTTAATTGAAACATATTTCAAAATAAACTAAGATCATATCACATTATTGAGGAGGTTGTTGTTCTTTTAGATTACATTACACTTAACTAAAGAGGCCTTTAAGTAACTAAACCATTAGCAGATTGGTTTATATTTTCAGGCGCTCAACAAATGCATTATCACTTGGATTTATTTTGTTATTAATGACTCACTGGGAGAATATTAATGTTATTTTTTTACATTACTGTTGCATTATTTACCTAAACTAAATGGTGTCTAATACTGGGTTATTTTGACCCAGTGTGAAACACAACAGGCTCAAATTTTACCCTAAAACTGTCACATATTTAGTGTAGAAAAAAATGTACATGCTGTACTCAAAAACTGATTAACCTGAATTGAAACACATTATTAAACCCCACCTATTAAGCATTAATAATCAGTATATGGTACAAACCTTTAATGAATACTTTATAACACAGATTAACATAGTGGTACACAGAGTGTGTTTATTAACACATTTGTCAACTATATAGCTCTATAACTACTTCTGTTGGTCAGAAACTGACAGAAACTGTGATGTGTGCAAAGTACTCTGCACTCACATACTGTGGATTACCTTAACGCCTGCTCTCCTCAGTTGTCCTCAAACTCAGGAAACATGCAGACAATGACACCAACAACCGTACACAGCCTTGGCCTCCATCACTGTTTATGTTCCGTAAAAAGGCAAAAAAAAAAAGAAAAAAAGCCCTCCACCAAAGCTCAGCACATTTCAAATAAACACATGTTCAGTCTGGCAAGATGACAGAAATGCCATGTGCCGGCTACTATAGACAGTTATTGGATCCTGTATCCCTTCCCCCTGGATCTCAGACTTGATCCTCTTAAAGGATTACAGTCTCTACTTCTCTACAGATACCTGCTTTTAGACGGCGCGGCTGATACGAGGCTGCAGACCTGCAGCTGTATCAAGTAAAACTAAACTGAAGTTGGATCATATCACTGAAATGTGTGTTTCCTCAGGATCAACAGCCACAATCAGTGATATAATGAGGACGGCTGAAATAGGCTTTAAAACACACCCAGCACATGTGTCAGACCCTGAACACTATACTGTGTAGACATAAAACCTGATGTCATATCTCCATCATTATTTCCTCATGCAAATTGGTTAATTTCCATTAGACAGTGAGATTCAACTAACTTCACCTGAACTGATCTAAAATTAAAATAACTTAGTCTTATTTTGTGGGAAATAAACACAGTTCAGTAGAGAAGAGTGTCGCAGGCTATCTGTGAGCAAATAGGTGAGTGACACATATAGGAGCACAGCATTGATCAAATCTATGCAGTGTACAAGGTCCTGCAGCATTAACCCACTTGCAGAGTGGCTCTAATCTGACCCCAGAGCAGCTTATTGGCCAGCATTGGACAGTTAAATCTTGCACAGATATATTCACTAAGTTGGCTTTTTCTTCTATTATGTAATGTGTATGACATAGCACAAGTCTAAGTGAAGATAAATGGATAAAGGAAGTTTATGCCACAATGCTTGTTTTGCCCCATTGTTACAGTAAATAGTAAATAGTAGATCTCTTTAATGACAAGTAAGATGATATTGATGAGGAATACTAAACAATAACAACAATAAAAATATTGATTGGAAAGGTTAAGTAGAATCACTGAGATACAGTCAAAGAAAAGGAAATACAGGAAGAGATACTGTATGACTTTTTTTTCTAAATTAACAGAAAGTCTGAGCATTTGTAATTCCAAAATATGTGAATATTTTCTGAAATGTGTTTCAGAAGATGTAGAATATACTCTGATATAAAATAAGAAATATTACCCCAATAAGGATTAGACAAAGCAGCCAATTACCCCAGGGCCCCAGATCTCTAAAGGGCCCCAAGAGTCCTGGGTCCATTGTGTGGCAGTTGGTTTTCTGTAATTTAATAAATTGTAATTTTTGAATGTGAAAGATAAATAGATTAAATACATAAGTACACAAATAAACAAATAAAAGAATAAATCTTCAAAAAACTTAATGCAGGTAATTAGATCTTAAATTATAATTTGTTGTCGTGCAATTGTAATTTTATTTGGGAATATACTCTCAAAAAGCAGTCTCACCTGATATCAAAGCAGTTATTAGGGTCCCAGCAGCTCATTTTTGCCGTCAAGCAGATTAACCCGGCCATGCAGAGGTCATGCTGTTACATCCTCCGGTACAGCAGGTGGCGCCATGTTCTTCTAAAACGTGGAGCGGAAGCGGAACTGTGCAGGAAGAACAGAGTTTTCCCTTCCGGGGTTAGGTTAATTTAAGGTAAATAAACACGCGCGATAATGACATTGAAATGAAAATATGTCAGTTGGTTTATCTCAGCGCCTGTACAATTAAAGTTACTTCTTCAGCAGGTGAGACACTGAACAACACTCCGGTCTAACGGGAATAAAAGGTAGGTTCAGTGTTGAGTTCAGTGGCTGCATGTGGGGAAGGAGACAGAACACGAGGAGAAACTGTATTCACATTACTGCCAATTTAAAGGTTCGCTGTATATTTTCAGAAATATTACTTTGATAAGACATGCTGTGGTATCTTATACGGATAATTTGGAGCTGCTCTCCAAATCGGCATTGATCATGCATACCGACCCTCACTTATTTTAGAATAATGTAAAGATACAACCGTTGTTTCACGCGTTATTTCGTTTGTCGGTGTCAGTCTGCGTTAGCTAACGTTAACTTGTTAACTGACGACATGAGTGATGCTTAGCTAAAATATAGAGCTGCTAAATAGGTTAGCTACATGCCGAATTTATCAGTAGGCCCTCACCACTCTCTAGTGTCTTTAAAGTCTCACAATATTAAATGTTTAGTGTTCGCAAAGCTAAGCTAGCGTTAATTTGACCGTGCAAGCTAACGGAATACAGAACGCACCAATTTAACAACGTAGGCTGCAGTTAATTTACGTTGTCCGTTAAAACTACAGCTGAAATGTTTTCACCATTCATAACCAGACAAGATATGTTTTTCAAAAATTTTAATTAATTGATTTATAAATTTTCGACATTTCTATTTGTCATATTTAATTATTATTTCTGCGGGTAAGGTAATGCAACCCATACAGAAATTTAATAAATGACGTATGTGTTCCTATACCAAGAGTGATGCAATATATTTCACCTTTAAGGGGATATATTGCTACTACATACAGTATATACATCCGCTGGATATATGAAGATATACGTTTATAACATATACAGTATGAAATACCCATAGTAAAATTTGTATATGTACATATATTAAACATATCTATGTGATTAATTTTTTTTACATATAACACATATGTTTTCTATCCCTGACTGACTTAATCAAATGAAAAACAACTACTAGTTAGTAATTAGTAGTGAATTCTATTCTGATATATTTTAACTGAAAATCATGAAAATAACCTCCCCTCATAAAAATAAATGTTTAAAATTGGCTATTCATGTTATAACTACAGTAACAGGGTTGCAAATGGGTTTGTGTTTTGTGGATTGTATATTTGTGATTTATACTGAATCTGTTTTTATGAACGTTACAGTAGATCCATCCATTTAATTAAACTAGTTCATTTGCCTTTTCCTGTCTCATTTTAAAGAATGGCTTTTCCCTGTGTGCGACTGTGCACTCAACACTTGAGGACAGGGATTCGAGTCTGTGGTTATGCGACACTCAGTAAAGCATCCAGACCGCAGGAGAAGAGCAGCAGTGGTCCGGTGTTCCAGTATGTCGGCCAGCACAGAAAGCCCAACCACAAAGTGTTTGTGTGGGGCTTTAGCTTTACTGGTGCTCTGGGTATCCCCAGCTTTGTAGTGCCAGACAGTGGCAGGAAGAAGCCCCGTAAATACCAGCTCACTCCTTACCGCCTGGAGACTGCAGAGCAGGTAAAATCATCTGTGGAAAACTGCTGTATTTGGGTTTTGTATTGATTCTCTCCCCACTAAATGCTGAGTCTGATTTATTGTCAGTAATAAGCAGTGTGGCTTGACCAATTTAAGACGTAATATACTTTGATTTTGTGAGCAATATTGCCTTTTTAATTATCCACGAAGTGCAAATTATTGATACCGTTATAGTTCTAGTTTGCAAAAATGATATCTTAAGCCCCATTTGGATTGAATGTTTTTCTTCAGAGGTGGTTGATATTTTAATAGTACGTTCACTCACTACTCCAGTAATAAGTAGAGCTCCATTTCCCTTTCATAATGAAGGGAAAAAAGAAAAGCATTATGAATGAGCTGTTCAAATAGTATGTTAAAAGTGATTCTTCCTTTGCTAGTATTCCTACAAAATTCTATATATTGTCAGCTACATATATTTAACACTGTTGCCTCACAGACACCGGTCCTTTTCTTATTGTAAAGGCATAATAGGGTGTAATGGATTAATTTACTGATAAATATTTGATTGCTTATATTACTAACATTATGGCAAGCCTGCTGGTGATGGAAGTCACTCCTTTTATACTGAACCAGCCCCAGTATTGTCTGAAATGATGATGAGGATAAGATTACTCTTGTTGAAAAACATTAAAATGAATCATCTGATGCATTGGAGCCCAAAGTCTTCATCTTCCATGTCCACAGAAAAGACTGTGATTATGAGAAGGTATGGACTGTTGAAATAGATTGTAAGGCTGAACTCTTCCTCTGTCGTAGATCTCTTCCGCTGCTTGTGGTTACGGCTTCACTCTCATCGCCTCCTCCACCAAAGATGTGTCCAAGCTGTGGGGAATGGGCCTGAACAAAGACTCTCAGCTGGGATTCCAACGCACCCAACACAGCCGCCGTAAGAGAAACTGGACTGTTTATACAAAAGTAGAAAAAACTTGTAATTAAGACATCAGCATGACGTAAACAATTTGGTGTCTCTCTGTCATGTTGGCTCTTTGCCTGATGAAGGAAAAAAAAGGCCCTTTTTTAGTCAAATATAGTTTTTGGGATCTAAAATCCAGTGTGTGGACTCTCTACTTTGTCCTGCACCTTGCCTAAATACAGTGCACGCAGCTACCTCAGTTAATATCACACCGTGACAGATCACGGCAAATCTGTTGGTTCATCAAATAACATGATTGTCCTGAGACGGTGCATCATGTACCATGTTTCACGTCCCTCCCCTGTCTGATGCCCTGTTCACAGATCAGAGTTATGACTACATCTTGGAGCCGTCGCCGGTGGCTCTGCCTCTCGTCGAGCCTGTGAAGACCAAAGTGGTTCAGGTTGCGTGTGGCCGGGCTCACTCCCTGGTCCTCACTGATCAAGAGGGAGGTAAGAGACTCGCACCTCATGCAGCAGCATGAATCCAGACCCGCAGTGATAATGGAGTTGTTCGCTTTTTGCAGAAAGAACTCGAACTTGAGGCTTTTTAGAGGCGACTTTACAGCCGAGTGTTCGTCACAGTTTGTGAGAAGAGAAAGAACACCTGGTATTGTGTTGTTAGCAACCACCTGTTGCACTGTGTGTCCTTTTCCATCCCCCACCCACCTCTCACTGAAAATTAATGATTATCAGACAGCTGCTAGATCTCAACTGAAAACACCCATTAGGGTCTTCTGGCACCTTCATTAAATTAACATACAAATGTTCTAAAAATGAAATCTGTTTACAGAACATGTTCGAGGCACTTTTGCTTTACATTATGATTTGAATTTTTGTGAAATTGAAGAGTGGCCCATCACACTGCATTTAAGGTCTTAACATGTTTAATCTTGCATCTACTTCGCTGTTTGGCGTTGAATACCCAGGTTATTAACTGTAGTTTGGCCAGATGAAAGAAAATAACATATCATATGTCTTATGGCTGTGACCCGGTAAGAACTTTTACTTTAAAAGGAAAAGATTTTTCGCTCAGGGAAGTGTAAATAATGGGACAGGGCTTGTGTAAATGAAACTCAGCAGCTGTTTCTCAGACTCTTTGATGACACTAGTTTATCACCTCATTCTTTCCGGGTATAAAATTTTCTCCTGTAAATTTTCTTTTTTATTTGACGATGAATAAAACCAATAACAATGTCATTGTGTCTATTATAATTCAAAGGGCGCTGTTCTGTTTCTCTCTCCCAAGTTTTCAGTATGGGCAACAATGCGTATGGCCAGTGTGGGAGGCGGATAGTTGAAGATGAAGTCTACAGGTGTGTCCTAATACTCTTTGCACACAACAGCACAACAGTTAATCGAATGTTTCAAGATCATTTTACTTGATTTTTTTTATATTATAATTTTAATTTGATGATAGAAATTATGACCAACTCTATGAAAATAAGACCCAGGTTGTGCATAACTGGAATTTCCCCATGAGTCCTTAAACAAAACTGTTTTATAATGTGTTTATTTCCCATAAGAAGTCAGTTCTATTGTTGCACGACCTCACTTCAGCTGGAAACAGTGTCATAAATTTAAAAGTCTGAGAAGTACTTGAATTTAAGCGTTGGGGTTCATTCTTGACCTTGGGAACACACATACAGTGATGCAAATTCTAAAGTCAAGATTTACTGACTTTGACTTCCCGAAGCTTGAACTGAAAAGTATGATTCATGTCACGGGCGTTTTGAATTGGATGTATTGTTTATCTGTGAGTTACGTTCTTGCAAATGCAAGCGAGGCGTTGAATGAAGGCTGAAAGAGAAGGAAGGACGTGACCTGTCTCTGGGGGCGCTGCTGTCCTCGAGTGATGGATCGGTTATTTCTCATGTCTCATGTTCAAACAGTGGCAGCCACATCATTCACAAGATAGAAGGCTTCGGCAGCAGGGTCACCCAGGTGAGTGCAGTCTCTTTGCGAACAGTAACGGCAGATGGTTTTTTGTTGTTGTATGTCTCATTGCCTCTTTCTTTTATCAGACCTTTGGGTGCACGCTCACCCAGATTATGTACAGATACAGTTGGATTAGACACCTGCCCAGTGTACACATTAATATAATGTGGCGAAATGTCAGTCTAACCACTTTGGTGTTGGCGTTTGCCTTTATAATCATGTGTGCAGGATGCATTTACATGTAGATATAATGTGGTTTTAACACCATTCAAATGGGATCTGATCACCGAAGATGCCTCTCTTCTCTTCCAGGTGGCGTGTGGACAGGATCACAGTCTTTTCCTCACCGAGACAGGAAAAGTGTTCGCATGTGGCTGGGGCGCAGATGGACAGACGGGTCAGTGCACTTCACAGAGAAGAACCAGTCCCCCCCTTAACCTTGAAAGCCAGATGAAAAATCTCCTGTAGTACACCACAGTAACCATTTCAGCTACAGTGAGGTTGAACACACAGACAGTAGCCAACTATTTTACATCTAAACACTGTAAAACCAAACCAGACTACTTTTGCATCATAATGTTTTAGATTGTTAAATCTTTTATTTAATCAGATAGTTTCACTGTGATAAAGATCTTTTTGTAAAAGAGATCAGAGTCTAGCAGGAGAAGTACAGCAGAGATATGACACACAACAAAGCAAACACTTACAAGCAGCATCAAAAATAAATGTTTTCATTCATTCAGTGGGATTAGACTTTCACATCTTTAAATCTTTTGTAATTTATTCCATTTATATGTTCAAAGTACCGGAGGGAATGATCAGTATTTACTCATGGCATCGAGAGGTAACCACACAAGAAAACAGGAAAAAGATGTTTCACAACCTGTCAAATGCAGATAATAGGATGAACCGCTGTTCTGAACTTTAAGATTACTTCAGATAATGTATTATTATATATTATTAAAAACATGTCTCAGAAGTTATTTGCCCTCCTCCCTCGTCATCTAGGATTTACTCTTAATCAACGAGAGCGATATTCCTGAGACCTTGTTACGGACTTAAGTCCAAAATTTAACTTGTTGCTGTTTTGACGGTTGCACGTTCTTGTCTTCCAGGTTTGGGACACCACAGCGTCACCTCCACCCCGGTGGAAGTGGGAGGGGATCTGGCGGGCGTGGAGGTGCGGCAGATCAACACGTACGGAGACTGCAGCCTGGCCGTGTCCACAGATGGACAGCTGTACGGATGGGGCAACTCTGAATACCTGCAGCTGTCCTCGGTCACTGAGGCCACACAGGTGAGGAGAACTCGCATGTCGTCCAGCCGGAAGTGTAGCGAGGGAGAGTAGAAAGTTGTCATCTTCTGAAGTGTTGTCATACATTCTTTTGATATATGAACAGGACTTCTCTGTGACTCCTAAAAGGTTTGTTGTACTGTTTTACTGAAGGACTTGCTTGAAGGCTCTGTTAGGTTCTTTCCACCTGTCAGTCATTTGTCCAGCGGTCAGTAGTCAAATATTTTGAGGCATAAGAGATGGCAGAGAAGAGGCATGAAATTATTCACAGGGCCTCGTGCTTCTTTCTAAATTTTATCCTTGAGGTTTGCTCGTGCGAGTGTTTCAAGTTGGCCTCAGCAAACTCTCTTAACTGCACAAACTTTTAAAAATGCTCATTTCACCTCCATGAATGGCGCCAGTTCACGAGGAGGTTCACCTGACCATGTGCATGATCGACATACCCAGATATTCCCGGTCTCAACCTTCATTCAAAAAAATGTCACCCAAGAGTAAAAACAAGTTCACAGTGAGTTAGCAGAATTAAAATCTGTAAATTAACAGATTAAAACAAATTTCACAACAACATAAAAAAAAAACATCATCTTTTATTCCTGTGGAGAAAGGCTAGTATCTGTACATGACTTGTGCTGCAGGTCTGGGCCACTTGTGAATTTCCTTCGTACCTAATTCTAAATATGAGAAGATTGAATGATGCCAGTTGTCTTTAACCACCTGTGCACTCTCACTTAAGCCCCCGTTAATCTTCTCTTCATCTCTCAGATCAACTCTCCTCGACGTCTTCCTCTGAAAGGCTGTGGGAAGGTGGTTCAGGCAGCATGCGGAGGAACACAGGTGGCTGTTCTCAACGGTCAGTTTATACAAATACACCTGAAAACAGTTTGTGTAAATGTGAGCATGAAGAGCTGCAGGCGACTGGGAGACTCACTGTTTAGATTTAGTGGGTCTTTGGGATAAAGTCAAGCTTCCTGACCTGATGGCAGAGCAGTTAAAATCAACTTCAGTTCACAGTTTGACGTCAAAGGAGTGACTCCTCTCACTGCCTCACGGTGGCATCACAGATCACACTTCTGTGTTTCTGGGAAAGTGGCTTGTCTTTCAATTTACCTTTTTGACACTATGGCAGGAAAATCAATAACTGTTTCAGGTATAAGTGTGTAAAAAGAGAAAAACTGAGCTTTTACTTATCCAGACTTGGTGTTGTGTTTCCCAAAACAGTCTCTGCAGTCATTGATGGGACTATTTTAAGGGAGTGTTATTGTTCACAGCTTTTCAACATCCATGTTTATCAAGTGTCTCAGAGCAGGAAATTACACCTAAGTGACACAGTCAGTGACACATTTTGCTTCTACTTTTAGGTTCGGAAGTGAAAATGTTTTATCAGTCACTCCTAATTCTGCTCAATATGTGTGAGATGCTGAGTCATTATTATCAAACAAGGGTAGCATGTGTCACACAGTAGAGTCAAATGACCTACTATTTATAATTGTAATATGTACAGTACATTTACTTAGTGTATGAGATTTCAGCTATTTTTATATTACTATATCTTTTATTTAACCACGTAAAAAGAAACCTCATATTTCTGCCCCACACACAAAGATCACTATTTAATATTTCATTCTGAAAATGTAAAAGAAATCATAATATCTACTTTGCAGCTGACAGTGTCCTAAACAGTGATGCCTCTCTTTCTTGGAGTCCTTGTCCTTGCTGAGAATAAATGCAGGAAGCTCCATAAATATAATAAACTTTCATTAGCACTCTGGGAGGGATTCTGACATGCTTGATAAATATTAGCCCTGATCATAACTATTAATAAACCGGATCATAAAAACACCTTTGTTTAACAAGTGTGTTTTTAGCTTACTAGCTATGTGGCTAACATGTCAGTCGCATTCATGTTTCCCTCTGGGTCAATAGAATAACTTTGATGATCGTCTGACTTTTCTCTCTAGCTCCATCAAAAGGTCCAAATTCCAGTTTGTCCAATACTCAAGTCCATGACCAAATACCTGCAAAACTAATGAGATTTCCAGCAGCCGCAGCTGTAATTTATGTTTGGTGCTAAATCTGCTTGTTTATTCGTGTCTTTAGCTTTTGTTTCGTCATGTTGGTATATAAATATCAGCCTAAGTCTGTCTCTGTGTCTCTGAATGTTTTCAGAAAAAGGAGAGGTGTTTGTATGGGGATATGGCATTCTTGGAAAAGGCCCAAAGCTATCAGAGTCCTCAACCCCGGAGATGATTCCCTCCACGCTGTTTGGGCGCTCAGAGTTTAACCCTTCAGTCGCTGTCACCACCATCAGGTGTGGCCTCACCCACTTTGCTGCAGTAACAGGTAAGAATGTTTGTCTCGTCACGTTTAGGATGTCTGAACAACAAACTCTTAATGCATCTCCACTTAAGTTGCACTTAATGATGCACTAGGTGAAATCTGTGTGTCAGATCAGCAGTACACCAGGGTTACTGATGCCACTTTACTGCTTTCAGCTTTAAAGTATCATCTATTTTTCTTTCTTTTTTTTTTTCTTTTTTTTCTGCTGAGCTTTTTTTTCCCTTTCCAGCAAAGATAAAAGATGGAAATATAAAACTAATAAACCACAAAGTCATTCCGTCTCATCCTGTCTGAAGTGCTAAAAGAGAGGTACAGGTGTCTGGGGAAGCAGTTTACTGCAGTCAGGTGATTTAGGCTGTTTATGGACCGGAAATTTAAAAAAAAAAGAAAAAAAAAAGTCAATTTTTTCGTCAGGACTGAAAGGAGCGAACGGTCTCTTCATGTCTTCATGTCGATGACATGAACAGTCGAGCATCGAGGGAAAAGATTTTTTTCACATCATGCTTCCAAAGCAGCCAACAACACTAAAAGTGAAGACACAAGTATTTGTTCTTTATAACTTAAATTGCTATCTCCTAAAATCAATAACTGGTTCTTTGGGTTTAGTCAGTGGTGGAAAACAGCTAAGTACATTTACTTAACTTGAGGAGAACCTGTGTTAAGACAGAGGTTTGGAGCATTAACCGTTAAAAGGAACAGTAGTTGGGAAGATCGATACCAATCTGTTAAATATAAAAGTACATCCAGCTGCCAGTTAGCTTAGCTTAGCACAAAGACTGGAAACAGTGGGAAACAGCTAGCCTGGCTGTGTCCAACAATGAAAACCCACCTACCAGCAGCTCCAAAACTCACTAATTAACATTATATCTCATTTGTTTATTGTAAACAAAAATTGATTTTTTCCTTGTTGCTATTGTGTTGTCTTCAATGACAAAAATCTACTGTATATGTAATTATTGTGTTGTGATATTAATATTTGCTCAAACACAGATTTAACTCTTTGTCTAAAAGAAGCTGTTGTTCAGACAACAAGGATTTTTGTGGTAAGACGTATCAGGAATGTCATGAACCCTGGTTGCTATTATTGTTATTTTATTTATTTATTTTTTTAAATCATATTCTGTGTGACTCATCCTACTAAAAGGTAGAAGCTGTTTGAGACTACAGCTGGTCCGTGTTGAGGCTCAGCAGGTGCTCGGCCTCACGGCGTGCTGATGGTTTGATGGTTGCGTTGCAGATCGAGGCGAGCTCTTCGTTTGGGGAAAGAATGTGAGAGGATGTTTGGGCATCGGCAGTCGAGACGACCAGTACTTCCCATGGCGGGTAAGGCAACACCGATTCAATATTAGTCAAACACAGAGAGTCAAACATGCGGCTGATGTACTGTGGAGAGGAAAAAGCAAACCAATTTGTGAGCTTGGAAGTTTGTTTTTTTTCCCACCTACGTTTTTCTTTATCAAAATAAAATGCACACACTGCATGCATGTCCACGTTTCTTCATTCGTGTGCGGAAGTGGAGTTAAAGTTGGACATTTTTCCAGCTGGTTCTCATCGTTCCAAGCCCTGCAAATAAATGTGATAAAGTCATTCATGCAAACTGTCGCTCTACCTCACCTTACTGTATGTAAAGTACATTTCTTCTGAAAAATGTGTGTGAGGTTGTTAAAGAAATCTCCTCCTGTATGTCCCCGATAGAGGTTTCCAATATGAGTCTCACAGACTTACATTAGCACGTCCCTTTAAGACATTGTAATATAATAGCAATATTGTAACAGGATTTGAAGGTCTTGTACTCGCTGTTCTCAGTGTGGCACAGTGGGAAATCCCTTCATCACCTATAGACGCTTTCAGAGAGCAAGAAACAAAATAAATGTTCCTCGTAGCGTCAGTGTGTGTGGAGGCGCACCAGGTTTTCTGTTACTGAATCTGGAGTTAAACCAAGTGAACTGTATTTTCCTCCCTCCTGTGTGATTTACTCTCAGGTGACTGTTCCGGGTCAAGTGGTGGATGTAGCGTGCGGAGTCGACCACATGGTGGCGCTGGTGAAGTCCCTCTTGTGAGCTCTGGTCCTTCCCAGCCGAGCATGAAAGGCTGGATGTTTGGCTGAGCCCCCGCCCCTCTCTCACCCACCCACCCACCCCCCGCTGACCCCCGGGCGCCTCAGGGAGCCGATCAGGGCCGCTTTGGAGTCTTGAAGCCAGCTGCTCTCCACAGGCGACGGACCCTCGTGTCCCTCCGTCCTGCGGTGACGTCAAGCAGTGAGCAGGGCAGTCGATTCTGCAGCGAAGTGTCACAGACACGGTTCAATTTATCCTGCATGAAGGTCACACGGGACAGACATCGAAGGATAGTTTTATCACAAGCGCGGCTGAAACGATTAGTCAGTCAATCGATTAATTGATTTAGCCATTTCCCAAGCAAAATAATGAAAAAATGCAAATCATTCTTTGGTTCTTCAGTGTGAGGAGCTGCTGTTTGTCTCGCAGCGTAAACTGGATATCTCTGAGTCTTGGACAAAACAAAACAAGGGAAGACGTCACCTTGGGCTTTGGACACGTTTTCACTATTTATTGACATTTTATGGACTAAACTGCAGATTAAATGATAATGAAAATACTCATTTTCATTTACACCACCATCATTCATATCAGTTATGACAATGCATTCCCCACCAAGTTAATCTGGGAACTAAAAGGCAACATTACTGATTCAAATTGAAGCCAAAAAACTATGAAAATAAGACCAAACCTGTAATAAACTGGACAAGCTTTCTACCCATCAGGTAGTTAACTCTGTAAAATCATGTTTTGTCTCCTCTGACATGTTGTTGATTTGCCGCTACACAAAAATACTCTCTGTTCTCAGTGAATTAAGTGATTCACCGTGGAATCATCAGACTCTTGCAGTTTGAACAATGTGTTGTGGCAATTTAAATCTCTCCCGGCCAATCAAAGGCTTGTGTAACACTGGACCATTTGAAAAGTCTGTGACGGCAAAACAATCCACAAAAAGATTATCATCTCCCTGCCGACTGCAAATAGAGGTGAAGACACTCTGCCAGGGAGAAAACGGGTTTTGAAGAATCAATTTTACGACATGAACTCGTGTCATCAACGGTGCATGATTGTCGTGCATATAAAAGGCTGTTGGGAGCTGCGGAAAACTACAAACATGGCATCCTGGCGGCCCGAAAAGATCAAGCTGCTCTGACATTTATCGCCATATCAATCAAATGCATCAAGATTTTCAATTATTAAGTGTTATATTTGGTCTGCATGTGTTCCGAGGGTTAACTCACCCGTGGTGTTAGTTTGATGACAAACTAAATATGCTATATCAAAATAAATCTATTTTTATCTACCACATCAGTTGTATTGATAAATACTGAAATTACAGTTGAAATTTTTAGTAAAGAAAAAAATTCTAATAATTTTGTAGAAAGTTTCCTGGGAGACACTGCAATTATAAGTGAGACAGAGTTAGTCAATTAGTTCAGTTACAGGATAAGACGATCCTTTAACTACAAATGGTGATAGTGACTTTACTCTGCAGGCAAAATGAAGTTCGCTTTACTTTCTCTGTTCTGTTGAAAACATCAAACCTGAGATATTTAAGTTGAGTTTCAAACTCAATACTCAAATAACAGTCTCAGAGCTTTGTTGCTATTTTCCTCCTAATTAGCACCAAATTACACAGACTCAAGAAATTATTAGGAAATCATGGACCTATAAAATAAAGCGTCACATTATTATTATTCTAAATCATTTTCACTCTCTGTTTGGATTTAATTTACCAGCTGATCCTGACTGTAACTTCGTCTATAACTGTAATAGTTGATGGGCAGTTTAATTCTTACAGTACAGTGACTGTAGCTGAAGTCCGTGCTCTCTCCCTGGTTTGTTCTCTCTCCATTGAGCTCCTGTGTTTTGGGCCATTCATCATGGTGACAAGTCGAGAGTCGAGCTCTGAGAGTATGGAAATATATTTATGACAAAACTACTCAGTGAGCATAAAACATACAACCTGTGATAAATCTGCACGGCACCATGAGTGTGATTTTCTTCAGTTTTCCTCGTAGCGCTGTTTTGTCACATTCTTTTTGAGGGTAATTGCTAGAAATTTTTGGACTGACATACTTGTGTTTGCACAAACCTGGTATTTAGGGTCAATGTTATCTCATAAATGTGGCTGTAGCTTAACTTGTGGGTCAAACCCAACAAATTTTTCTCAGTTATCTTTAAATTTAATGAGCAAAGAAACCCCCCACTGCTTATTCAGATCAACTGCAATGATAATCCAGGTCTTTAAAGTCAAGGCAAGTTTATTTATATAGTGCCATTCAGACACGAAGCAATTTAAAGTGTTTTACAGACGCATGGAAATGCATTAAAATAGAACATTGAGATGACATTAAAAAAGCATTTAAAGTGGATTTGAATAAATAAAAATATTTGAAGTCATAAAATCAGGATAGCATTTTAAAAGAATAAAAGAAGTGCTGCAGTGATAAAAGGCATTAAAAACAAGCAAATGCACAAGATTAAAAAGTATGTATGTGATTTATTACCACTAAATGTTGTAAATAGCGATGTTTTAAAAACACCTACTGGTGTGACACCCACGGTTCTGTCCTCGCTCATTCACCAGACTTATCGTGTTCTTAAACATGCTCAGTCCTGAGAAACCGTAGCGCCGCCGCAGAGCCGTGTTTTAACAGGTGGTTCTGTTTTGTTCCTGCAGTTTGTTTCATGCTATATTCATGCGAGGTAACGCATCAATGGTCGTGGCAAAGAAGAAGAGTGTAAGCGAGCAAACATTAATGTAAACAAGGATTCAAAATATTTGTATTTTTTTTTAAATTGGCTTTGCATTTGTTTCATACAGAAGGAGATGCAGTGTCTCTTGAGGAACAATGAACGTAAACACTTTGTTTACAAGAAAACTCCACAGGGCACCTTTAACTAATTTTCCACAAAGCCTTTTGATGTTTTGAGTCATTCTTCAAGCCTCGTGTTGCACCTGAACGCCTCATTCCTATCATTTGCATTAAACTGATGTGTTGACTGTATAACAATCCCAATTCAAGGTCCTCTTACTACTATCTGGAGCTTTCAACTGTATCGCAGTAAGTATGTTTCCATCCAACTGTGTTTATGTGCATTTTTAATTTGTAGTGGAATTGCAGAAATTTTGCGAAAACACTTTATATTGTAAAAAGACTTACACTTGGCTGAGGAGGAAAAATTTTATCACAAAATGTGACTTGAAGCTTTATAAACGTTTCAGATCTGTGTCGACTGTCACATTTCTTAAAATAATAACTGAAACAAACATAAATGTCATATTTATGTCACGTTTGGCTCTTCTAATCACCTTTAATAATCTTCATGTTGCTCCCTCTTCTTCTGCACTGTGTTGATCAGAGCCACCAACGTTTTTATAATGATTAACCTTAAGTGACAGAGTGGATGGAAATGCACATTCATTTGCATTTTAATTTGCATTTTCTTCTGCTGTTTTTCTGGAATAGGCACTTTGAGGACTTCTTGTTGATGTTAACACGAAGCAAACTCCATCCTCTGATGAAGATCCTGCGTGAAAGCTTCAGAGAAGGCCAGTAAGTGAACCTTGAGTTGTGACAGGTTCTTGTTAAACCACGAGGTCGTGAATGAACTTTCATGCTCGGTGGATGTTGAAAACTATGGAAAGTTTGAGCTTTAACACCCAGAAATCTTGTGAGTTGACTCCAGTGAGCAGTACATTATGACTTGAGTGTGACACAGGAAAATGTGTTGTTGTTGTTGTTGTTGTTGTTGTTGATGATGATATCCCACTATCTGTGCAACTGAACAGAATGTGAATTGTTCAACAGGGTGAAGTGATGCTGCTCTATTTGTTGCTCCACTGGAGTTTTGACTTGTAACTTTAATTGTAGTGAGTGGGAAGTAAGACGTAAGCAAAGACCTTTACTGACGAGCCAGTGAGCCGCGCAGTTGAACTGCAGGGGGATTATGTAAGGAGAAAGATGATCAGGAGGGGAAACACTAACATACCATGTCTGCTCCTTTAACCCTGCTCTGCAGAGAGCGTTGCTGCAGCTGGAGCGGCCCTCCCCCTCCCTGAAGAGAGCTGAAGCAGAGAGAAGGTGGCGTGTGGAGGCGCCCGCGCAGGGATACAAGGACCTGGCTGTTCTCTGCTTTGTTTACTCAGGTCAAATAATACAGACAACTGATATACCTGCAGTCTTCCCTGCTGTCATCCATTTGCTGCAGGCTGGAGCTGCAGGGAGGGGATCAGCGGAGTCCAGTCCAGCAGTGAGGACACAGACAGAAGGGCAGGAGTGTGCATTAAATGTGAGTTTTCACATAAAAGTTACACTTCAAATCACACCAGCACTACATTAGTGAAACCCCACTAGTGGCTCCTCGAGGCTGCAGTTACTCTGCACGATATGAAAGTGTTGAGAGGATGAACGAGGAAGAGATTTTGATTGAATTGGTTGGAGGTTTTGCTGTTATGAGAAAGATGGAAAAAGTCCAGAGGGGCATTTAATCAAGACTATATAACATTTGAGAGAAGAAATTGCACATTTATTGTTTTACAAATGAAAAGTTAAAGTCATAATGGATAAAACAGGTAGACTCCCAGACTTCCAGTCGACTCAGCAGTTTTGCAGCTACAGCCTTACTTGCTCTGGTGTGGCGACAAGCTCATGGGTAATGATAGAAAATTTGCTTTATCATCATAAAGTCATTTTATGACTCTTTATGACTCTTCTCTTCGCTACTTGTGTTACTGTTACACAGAGTCTTATCATTATAATTCTGCCACTTGTGGACACAGTGGCTGCTCTTTAAACCTTAAGGCTTTAAAATAAAACACGAGCTCGCTCAGTGCTAGTCTGGTATGTGTCAACTCTCGCTTTCCTCCTACCATCTCCACAACACCTCACCCTAACACTAACCTGTACCTAACCTGATTCCTTCTTCAGTCTATGAGCGTCAGTTTAAGTGTTATACATTTTGTCCTCAGGCTGGTGGTAGAGAGAGACTGAATGTTCCCTCTGGGGACCATGGATTTCACATCAATCTGCCTGTTAGATTAGGATTCCTTTATATACATGTGCATTTTGGCTTTAGAGAGAAAGGTTGAAGTAAAAACAATCAACGTTTGGGGAGCATGAATTTTCGCAGCAAATTAAATTTAAATCTCACCATCTTGCTGCAGTATTAGCATTTACTTGATTTAATGATTGTAATATTTTGTAGCTTAAAAAGAATCTGTATTTTTAACCAATACGTCTCATGAAGAAAAAAAAAGAAAAAAAAGATGTATTATGTTCTGCAGATTATAAATATCGTGAGTGCGTCACACCGCAGAGAGTTTAGAAAGTGTCTTCTCACTTGAGCAAAACAAGTCTCTGCTGGTTTGACGCAGCGCTGCTGTAACAAACATTGTCAGTGGAAGTCAAGGCATCATCACTGCTGCTGTTTGTGCTTGGCAGGTTATTATAGGCACAAAATGACTTGGCAGATGATCTTTCACTTACAATTTGTGTTGTGCTGTATTATTTAGTTTTTTTTCCAGTTTGTGCCGAAACCTTACAGCTACTATTCTGTTCCCTTGCCATGGAAACAACGCTGCTTGTTAAGGCTGATATTCATGGTATATTAACTGTTAACTGTTAATGTTATATTTTGAAATACCAAAAGGTTTGATTGGATAATGTGATTGCTCTGGATGCTCTGAAGACGATTGCATCAGTTTATTGATTAGAGAGCAGACTCAGTAAGAAGACAATCCCCCCCGTTGCAAAGTAAAGACAGTAAAAAATGACACGGGTAAAAACTGGACACGCGTCAAGCTCAAAAAAAAGCTTGTTTATTTTATTTTTTTTCCACACAAGAAGCTCCAAATGAAAAGCTTTTAACATTTTCTTTGAAATGGAATCAGAAGAAATGTCACCTTCCTCATGTATTAACACTGATAAATACAGGGTTTCTACTAATCAAGACTGATCAGAAGAAAGGTTGCTGTTAGGTGCAAGGTATCATGAAAGAAAAAGAAAAAAAAAAGAAAAAAGAAAAGAAAAACATTATCACCAAATGCTTAAGACCAACAGAAATCTCCCCATCTGGACAGGATCTTTCTAAAGTAAATACCCTCCCCGTTTTCACATCATGACAGCAGGCCTGTGGGGGTGGGACCTGCATTAAAGTGCAGACTGGGGCAGGGGAGGGGCAGCTTCAAGACCTAAATGGACACAAGGGCTCCGAGGGAAACGTCCCTCCCCCTGTGTGAAGCGTAGCTTATGCTCAGCACACTCGCACTGTCATTATTGGAGTACATTGTCAAAAGTGGCTCAGTAATTTATTACTACTGCAGATGCAAACATTTTTTTTCATCATTGCGTTTATCGTCGGGTCTTTACTGCAGGTTCACACTGTGAGCAACACGATCCTCGAGTCATTGAAAGAGACCAGAAAACACAGATACACAATAAGGCTTGATCAGTCTTGATTAAAAAAAAAAAAAAGTATACGCGTATTTCTCAAACGCAAACACAACTTATACTAAACCCTCACACTCACCTGAGGGTGGATCCTTAAATTATTGGCAGCCAATGATATTAGAGGTGATGGTAAACTCTGAAGTAGGACAGCAACTAATGATAATTTCCTTATCAATTAATCTACATGTAATCTATATGTATAGCATTATATTGATATAATTTTTATGGTTATTATTTATTTTACTAAAATTTTTCAGTGTTATTTTTTTTTCATTATAATTGTGAGACTTGTTTTCTTTAAATTACGTCGTTACTTCTTTGTGTGAAACTATGTTGACGTCCAGTGTATCGCTGTTTTTTTTTTCTGCCCTGATGAAATCAGTGTTTTTAACCATTAAGCCCGACTAAATAAATATTGGATTGTTGCTTTTAGTGAGTAATTTATTTATTTATTTATTTTGATTAATCAGTACAATACTAAAGAAGACTAATAATCTAAAGCATTGCTTACTTCAAAAGCTGGATTTTGATCTCGGTTTGCTTCAGTTGTAGTAATTGTAAAAATGTTAGTGGCTGATCTGGTAGTGGTTGCTAACATGCTAACAGTGCAATGGCACATTATACAAAAGCAGCTAAAATGTCTACTAGGTTCAGCGTCTTAGTGTTGGTATGTTAATGTGCTAAACAGCACTAAATAACAAGGTTTATCTGAGGTTGGTATAAACTATTGGACAATATGAAATCAAAAATGCATCAGATTTGTGCCAAATCATCTTTTTTCAATCAAACAGAACAGCAAAAGTATTCGTATATTAAATTCAATTACAATTAAAATTATATTAAATCAAAAAACAAACATCAAAATTGTCACTGATTAATTTTTCTGCATCAAATAATTATTATTTAATCACTCTGAAGTCAGAGATTCATGCTGCATAAAGTGTGCTTCCTAGCTAAAGAATAAATTTAAAAACAAAACAGAACAAAAAGAAGATTTGTCTGTTTAAAACTCGCTCCACATGCGTAAATTTAGCTGATGCTGCGTGACACATCGACCAGGTTGCTCACAGTGTGAATACATACAACTTATCAAAGCACTAAAAGATTAATTCCTCAACAACATCTCGGATTCACGTCTTGTTTCACCAAACTAAAAGCGTCGGAATTTCACTTCTAAGCCTGAAGGGACTCCAACGGTCGGATCATCGCTGTGATCAAAACACGCTCAACAGCTAATGAGAAAAAAAAAAAAAAAACAACAACACAAAAACAACAACATTATCCTCAACCAGGCTCGTCTGTCATCGCTGGCTGCCTCCAAAATTGTCTCCTTCAATTGCACACAATGTAGTATTTTGACAAAGGCATCGGTTTAGGCATTCAAACATCTTGGCACTGAGAAAAATGACCTGTGGAAAAACCAACCAACCATTAAAAAAAAAAAAAAAAGAGAGCTTGATATATAATATTTCTTTCGTTTTTGAGAGTACATTCGTCATCCTTCCATGAGAGGAATTATGTAACTAATACAGTATGGTGCTCATGGGGGTTCGGGGAGTGGGAAGAAGCAGCTTTAGAGAGGAAAAGAAACATATTCAGTCTGGTAAACTAAAGCAACAACTACCAGAGCAGGCAGTGGAGGGCCGTCGAAGGAGGGGTGAGGGTAAAGAAAATGATCAAGTAACAAAGGCATCCCTATCACACCGTCACACCCCACCCCACCAAACTCCGCCCACACTCTGTGCTTAGATCCCTTCCTTCTATCAGAGCCGGTCCGCAGTAGTCCGCTAATAAGCTCTTGGCACTTTTTGGACATGATAAACGTTTGAACGAAATGACTTTGAAAACAGTTGTTTTCGTGGTTTTCCTTCACTGTGCCGTGCTCTCAGTCCGCAGAGCTCCGATCACGCTTTGGATGTTTTCTTCGGGAACCTGAAGGAGACACAAGGGTTTATAACTGTCTGACAGCAGAACAGTGAGGCGGCAATTAACCCTAATTACTTTTACTTTGCTATCTTTAATTGATTTGTCGATTATATTTTTCATTGACTCATCAATCAAAATTGTCCGGGGCCCAAACAACATCTTGTTTTTCCCAGCCAGAGGGCCACGATTCAAAAATATTAAATTTACTATAAGACAAGAAAAAACAGCAAATTGTCCTTGTTGAAAACCTGGAATCATCAAATGTTGGACATTTCTGCTTGAAAAATGATTAATAATCACTTATCAAAATGAATTGCTGACTAATCGTTGCAGCTCGACATCATATACACACTGTTGAATCAAAATTATTGGGATTTTTCTTACCAGGGCGTGGTCAAACTTGAAGGTACTAATGTAGTAAGCTGGAATGTCAGCTGTTGCCAGGGGTTCTGATATCTGAGCCACGATGCCACACTCATCTGATGAGAGACAAAAGCAACACAGATTGTTGCTGTGATTCATTCACTATTTCACTGGCTGATTAATGAGTGTTGAGGCCGCTCAGCAGTGGCTCCCAACCCACAGCTCCCTTTCATCAACACCACCTGTCAACCGAATTCTTTTCAATTGATTTTGAAACTGGATGTTATTTAAAACTGTTCATTGAAAGTCGGTATTGTTAAAATAATAATTACATACAATCCAGTGTTCCTGGGATTGTCGGAGTCCAGGGGTAGTTTCTTTTTTCCCTTGTTTTCCTGGGGTTTTGATAAACTTTGCTTTTGTACAACTGCTACTTAGAGTGGCAGGAGCCGGATATTTCAACATTTCTCCAGCACTTCTAGCCATTCATTTTGCCTGTGAATGAATAAAAGCTGCGGCCCTCTAAATGTGGCAAATTACTGGAGTTCCTGATTCAAAACTATTCAGTATTTAAGCCTAAAATAATTAGTAGGATATGAAAGTCAAACTGGACGACTGTGACTCCTGAAACTGACGTGACGCCATCACCCCATGGAGACTTATACCAGTTCTTAGGATTGACTAATAACACATCTAGTTTCCACTAATCTGTGCAAAAGGAAAAGGAAAAACAAGTATTTGTAACTACAGTTGAAATTCTACACACCTTTATCGTATGCATTTACTGTATTTACTGTATTAGCTGCCTCTTTGGAACACACAGGCTGGCAGTGCAAATCAACAGCAGCAGAACAGATTTATCACCAGATGTTTTCAGAGTCACATCCACTCTGATCCTGACAGCTGAGAACAGTTGTTTAATTTGATGCTAACTGCTGCTGAGAGATGAGGTTGTCTTAGCCGATCTTGTATAAGTGGGTTGGAAACAGTGCATCAGACTCCACATGAAGACAGCATGCTCAGTTTGTGACAACAGACTGCAGCATCTTTACTATCAATCGTATCAATAGTGTGTGTATTTATTTTATTGATACTGTTGCATACACTGTTTGGAGATGGGTTAATCTCTGATACTGTATGTCATTGTAGTAGCTACATCTAACTAGCAAAAAAAAAAAAAAAAAAAAAGTCAGAACGAAACCAAAACAAATTGTTGCTCACCAAATCCTAAAGGTTGCCCCCCAATGCGAACCATCTTCCAAAGCTCACCCGAAGCACTGGTGAAAAGGACGTTGTTTGGAAACCTTGAAGAGAACAAAAGTTTTTTTTTTTAAATATAATATGCAATACTTACATAATATTATAGTTTGGTTTATGAGACAGACTAAAAATCCGATTTAAAATTTATTTTCAATATTTTTTTTATTGTTGAGCTCCTAAGTACTGCTCTCACTGTGCTAGGCATTATTCCAGCTTATGTGTGTTCACGCATTATTCTAAGGTGGTTAGCCCTGGTTTTCCTCCTGTTGTGATCACAGGACATGACAGCAGATCTGTATTCTGCAGCAGAGACAAAGGCGCAGTTTCATTTCAGGTGGAGTTTATTTCCTACAGTGAACTTTTAAATCAATAAATCATCTATTTTCCATAACATTTCTGGGAGATTGTCACCTTCAAATGTTTGCCAACGAGCGCCCGACTCTACTTTAAAAGCACCTCTTTGTTTTGCTGCAGTTAACAAATAGCAGACACCTGGCACAGCTGATAGAGACACTGTGTGGAAGTGCAGCACAAGAAGCCAACTATTAACCATTCAGCAATTGGAGCCAAACATATGAAGAGAAGCAGGTAAATTCTGTTGCCACTGTCCAACCAGCTGCACAGAATAAGAGAGCCATTGTAAAGTGGAGTAAAATGGGTGACCTATTCCTTTAAGGCAACACATTAGGTCTTACATAAACGAAGAGACAAGGCTGACCTACATGCTGCACGAAGAAAATATGAACTTTAAAAAACATAATGAAAGTTTGGTCCAATTATTATTTTACCTCCAAATGGCTTAAAGTCATTACTGACCCATATAAAAAGGGACACCTCATTTATGAATGGACAGCGTATGATCAGATGTGCTAATAGAGGAGCAACCACATGGGATCAGCATGTGCTCAGGTTTCTTTAGAGCCTTTTTGCTTAATTAGAGTCTACTGTGAAAATGAGGAAGGGGTTGGTTGAGGGGGGGGGGTAAATGAGTCAGACTGAAACCAACTGTGACTTAAGTACTTTGTTATACCCAACTGCTCTCTTATTGCCTAGAAACAAATTGCTCCCTCACACAACTATCATACAACAACACATTGAAGTAACAAGTTGTGGTTATGTTGCTACTGTTGTATCACAGGTGTTTCCTTCTACTCTACCTTTGAGTTGTCTGTTCATCCATGACCAGAGAGATGTAGCCTTCGATCAGGGAGAAGGAGAAGAAGCGGATGTGACTGGAGTCTTCGCTGGATGCTCCGGGTTCTTTTGGCCTAGAAAAGGAAAGGACAAACCCACAGTGTGGTTGGACTTATGATGCAGAAATCACATTTCCTGTATCCTGTGACCAGCCACACTCAAGTAGTAACTCAAGGAGTAACTCAAGTAGAGTTAAGTTTCATATATTTTCATTTTAATCCTTGGAACCACTAAGAGGTGAGAGCTCGTCATAGTATAATGAGGCGTAAAAAGTCATAAAAACAACATAGTATCGTAAGGCATATAAAGGCCTAGAAATGTCACAGTATAGTAAGGAATAAAAACGTAGTATAGTAGGGCAAAAAATGGAATAAAAACATTATATTAAATTAAATAATAAAAATGACAGTATAGTAAGGTATAAAATGGCATAAAAGTGACAAAGAAAAATCATAAAAACCACATAGTATACTAAGGAATAAAAACGACATAGTATACTAAGGCAAAAAAATTAAAAAAAAAACGACATAGTATAGTAAGGCATAAAAAGTCATGAAAACAACATGGTATACTAAGGCATAAAAAGTCAAAAAAACGCCATAGTATACTAAGGCATGAAAAATGAAAAAAAAACTACATAGTATAGTAAGGCGTAAAAAGTCATAAAAACGCCATAGTATACTAAGGCAAAAAATGAAAAAAAAAACGACATAGTATACTAAGGCATAAAAAGTCATAAAACGGCATAGTATACTAAGGCATAAAAAATGATAAAAACAACATAGTATACTAAGGCATAAAAAGTCATAAAAACGACATAGTATACTAAGGCATAAAAAGTCATAAAAACGACATAGTATACTAAGGCAAAAAAAGAAAAAAAACGGCATAGTATACTAAGGCAAAAAAATGAAAAAAAACAAAATAGTATACTAAGGCAGAAAAAGTCATAAAAACGACATAGTATACTATGTCATAAAAAGTCATAAAACGGCATAGTATACTAAGGCAAAAAAATGGGAAAAAACGACATAGTATACTAAGGCAAAAAAATGGGAAAAAACGACATAGTATAGTAAGGCATAAAAAGTCATAAAAACGACATAGTATACTAAGGCAAAAAAATGAAAAAAAACGACATAGTATAGTAAGGCATGAAAAGTCAAAAAAACGACATAGTATACTAAGGCATGAAAAGTCATAAAAACGACATAGTATACTAAGGCGTAAAAAGTCATAAAAAAGTCATAGTATAGTATGGCATAAAAAGTCATAAAAAAGTCATAGTATGCTAAGGCGTAAAAAGTCATAAAAACGACATAGTATACTAAGGCAAAAATTTTTTAAAAAACAACATAGTATACTAAGGCATAAAAAGTCATAAAAACGACATAGTATACTAAGGCGTTAAAAGTCATAAAACGGCATAGTATAGTATGGCATAAAAAGTCATAAAAAAGTCATAGTATGCTAAGGCGTAAAAAGTCATAAAAACGACATAGTATACTAAGGCATAAAAAGTCATAAAAACGACATAGTATAGTAAGGCATAAAAAGTCATAAAAAAGTCATAGTATAGTAAGGCATGAAAAGTCATAAAAACGACATAATATACTAAGGCAAAAAAATGAAAAAAAACGACATAGTATAGTAAGGCATGAAAAGTCATAAAAACGACATAGTATACTAAGGCGTAAAAAGTCATAAAAAAGTCATAGTATAGTATGGCATAAAAAGTCATAAAAAAGTCATAGTATGCTAAGGCGTAAAAAGTCATAAAAACGACATAGTATACTAAGGCAAAAATTTTTTAAAAAACAACATAGTATACTAAGGCATAAAAAGTCATAAAAACGACATAGTATACTAAGGCGTTAAAAGTCATAAAACGGCATAGTATACTAAGGCATAAAAAAGGATAAAAACGGCATAGTATACTAAGGCATAAAAAAGGATAGAAACGACATAGTACACTAAGGCATAAAAAGTCATAAAACGACATAGTATAGTCAGGCACAAAACCGTCATAGTATAGTAAGGCATAAAAAGAAATAAAAATGACATAGTATAGTAAGGCATAAAAACGTGACAGTAAACTCAGGCATAAAACTTCACTAAAATGTCATAGTATAGTAAGCGTTACATGATGTGGTGTTATGAGGTTTCGTGTGTGTGTGCTTGTCTGCCCTCTGCCCTCCCCTGTTCTTCAACAAGTGACTAGACACGGCTGATCCCTGTTCCCAACCAAGAGCTGGAGCTACAAAGGTGGAGTGAGGAGGCCTGAGCAGGGCCAGAAAGCGCCAATCAGTTGCTGATGAGATGTGTGTTGTCTTATGATAGCTGGATGCAGTTATAATGTTTACCTGATAGTGAAAGTAATCATATTTGGTGATTAATGTTAGTTTGGTTTATTTTAGTTTAGTGCTTAAGTAGTGGTGAAAGTTACCCAGTGAGTATTCCACTGTCGGTTTCCTGTTGTAGTTGTTTTCATTGTGAATAAAATTCTTTATTATTGGCTGTGTTTGTTTTCCTGTTAATTTTCGGTTTGGCCCGGTTTACTATTTCATTTATTGGTACCTCCCTCAACCCAAGGATTATCATGGGGAACGTAACAGTAAGGCATAAACGACATAGTATAGTAAGGCATAAAAAAATTATAAAAACGGCATAGTATACTAAGGCATAAAAAGTCATAAAAACGACATAGTATACTAAGACAAAAAAATGAAAAAAAAACGACATAGTATACTGAGGCATAAATAGTCATAAAAACGACATAGTATACTAAGACAAAAAAATGAAAAAAAAACGACATAGTATACTGAGGCATAAATAGTCATAAAAACGACATAGTATACTAAGACAAAAAAATGAAAAAAAACGACATAGTATACTAAGGCATAAAAAGTCATAAAACGGCATAGTATACTAAGGCATAAAAAATGATAAAAATGACATAGTATACTAAGGCATAAAAAGTCATAAAAACGACATAGTATACTAAGGCATAAAAAGTCATAAAAACAACATAGTATAGTAAGGCGTAAAAAGTCATGAAAAAGTCATCGTATACTAACGCATAAAAAGTCATAAAAACAACATAGTATACTAAGGCATAAAAAGTCATAAAAACAACATAGTATAGTAAGGCGTAAAAAGTCATGAAAAAGTCATAGTATAGTAAGGCATAAAAAGTCATAAAAACGACATAGTATACTAAGGCAAAAAAATGAAAAAAAAAAACGACAGTATACTAAGGCATAAAAAGTCATAAGAGACATAGTATAGTAAGGCGTAAAAAGTCATAAAAACGACATAGTATAGTAAGGCGTAAAAAGTCATAAAAACGACATAGTATAGTAAGGCGTAAAAAGTCATAAAAACGACATAGTATAGTAAGGCGTAAAAAGTCATAAAAACGACATAGTATAGTAAGGCGTAAAAAGTCATAAAAACGACATAGTATAGTAAGGCGTAAAAAGTCATAAAAACGACATAGTATACTAAGGCAAAAAAATTTTAAAAAACGACATAGTATACTAAGGCATGAAAAGTAAAAAAAAAGACATAGTATAGTAAGGCGTAAAAAGTCATAAAAAAGTCATAGTATAGTAAGGCTTTAAAAGTCATAAAAACGACATAGTACACTAAGGCATAAAAAGTTATAAAAACGACATAGTATACTAAGGCAAAAAAAATTTTAAAAACGACATAGTATACTAAGGCCTAAAAAGTTATAAAAACGACATAGTATACTAAGGCCTAAAAAGTCATAAAAACGACATAGTATACTAAGGCATAAAAAGTCATAAAAAAGACATAGTATACTAAGGCATAAAAAGTCATAAAAAGTCATAGTGTAGTATGGCATAAAAAGTCATGAAAAAGTCATAGTATAGTAAGGCATGAAAAGTCATAAAAAAGTCATAGTATAGTAAGGCGTAAAAAGTCATAAAAACGACATAGTATACTAAGGCATAAAATGGCAGAGTATACTAAGGCATAAAAAATGATAAAAATGACATAGTATACTAAGGCATAAAAAGTAATAAAAACGACATAGTATACTAAGGCATAAAAAGTCATAAAAAAGACATAGTATACTAAGGCGTAAAAAGTCATAAAAACAACATAGTATACTAAGGCAAAAAAATTAAAAAAAAACGACATAGTATACTAAGGCATAAAAAGTCATAAAAACGACATAGTATACTAAGGCGTAAAAAGTCATAAAAACAACATAGTATACTAAGGCAAAAAAATTAAAAAAAACGACATAGTATACTAAGGCATAAAAAGTCATAAAAACGACATAGTATACTAAGGCATAAAAAGTCATAGAAATGACAAAGTATACTAAGGCATAAAAAGTCATAAAAACGACATAGTATAGTAAGGCATGAAAAGTCATAAAAAAGTCATAGTATACTAAGGCATAAAAAGTCATAAAAAGTCATAGTGTGGTATGGCATAAAAAGTCATGAAAAAGTCATAGTATAGTAAGGCATGAAAAGTCATAAAAAAGTCATAGTATACTAAGGCATAAAAAGTCATAAAAAGTCATAGTGTGGTATGGCATAAAAAGTCATGAAAAAGTCATAGTATAGTAAGGCATGAAAAGTCATAAAAAAGTCATAGTATACTAAGGCATAAAAAGTCATAAAAAGTCATAGTGTGGTATGGCATAAAAAGTCATGAAAAAGTCATAGTATAGTAAGGCATGAAAAGTCATAAAAAAGTCATAGTATACTAAGGCATAAAAAGTCATAAAAAGTCATAGTGTGGTATGGCATAAAAAGTCATGAAAAAGTCATAGTATAGTAAGGCATGAAAAGTCATAAAAAAGTCATAGTATACTAAGGCATAAAAAGTCATAAAAAGTCATAGTGTGGTATGGCATAAAAAGTCATGAAAAAGTCATAGTATAGTAAGGCATGAAAAGTCATAAAAAAGTCATAGTATACTAAGGCATAAAAAGTCATAAAAAGTCATAGTGTGGTATGGCATAAAAAGTCATGAAAAAGTCATAGTATAGTAAGGCATGAAAAGTCATAAAAAAGTCATAGTATACTAAGGCATAAAAAGTCATAAAAAGTCATAGTGTGGTATGGCATAAAAAGTCATGAAAAAGTCATAGTATAGTAAGGCATGAAAAGTCATAAAAAAGTCATAGTATACTAAGGCATAAAAAGTCATAAAAAGTCATAGTGTGGTATGGCATAAAAAGTCATGAAAAAGTCATAGTATAGTAAGGCATGAAAAGTCATAAAAAAGTCATAGTATACTAAGGCATAAAAAGTCATAAAAAGTCATAGTGTGGTATGGCATAAAAAGTCATGAAAAAGTCATAGTATAGTAAGGCATGAAAAGTCATAAAAAAGTCATAGTATACTAAGGCATAAAAAGTCATAAAAAGTCATAGTGTGGTATGGCATAAAAAGTCATGAAAAAGTCATAGTATAGTAAGGCATGAAAAGTCATAAAAAAGTCATAGTATACTAAGGCATAAAAAGTCATAAAAAGTCATAGTGTGGTATGGCATAAAAAGTCATGAAAAAGTCATAGTATAGTAAGGCATGAAAAGTCATAAAAAAGTCATAGTATACTAAGGCATAAAAAGTCATAAAAAGTCATAGTGTGGTATGGCATAAAAAGTCATGAAAAAGTCATAGTATAGTAAGGCATGAAAAGTCATAAAAAAGTCATAGTATACTAAGGCATAAAAAGTCATAAAAAGTCATAGTGTGGTATGGCATAAAAAGTCATGAAAAAGTCATAGTATAGTAAGGCATGAAAAGTCATAAAAAAGTCATAGTATACTAAGGCATAAAAAGTCATAAAAAGTCATAGTGTGGTATGGCATAAAAAGTCATGAAAAAGTCATAGTATAGTAAGGCATGAAAAGTCATAAAAAAGTCATAGTATACTAAGGCATAAAAAGTCATAAAAAGTCATAGTGTGGTATGGCATAAAAAGTCATGAAAAAGTCATAGTATAGTAAGGCATGAAAAGTCATAAAAAAGTCATAGTATACTAAGGCATAAAAAGTCATAAAAAGTCATAGTGTGGTATGGCATAAAAAGTCATGAAAAAGTCATAGTATAGTAAGGCATGAAAAGTCATAAAAAAGTCATAGTATACTAAGGCATAAAAAGTCATAAAAAGTCATAGTGTGGTATGGCATAAAAAGTCATGAAAAAGTCATAGTATAGTAAGGCATGAAAAGTCATAAAAAAGTCATAGTATACTAAGGCATAAAAAGTCATAAAAAGTCATAGTGTGGTATGGCATAAAAAGTCATGAAAAAGTCATAGTATAGTAAGGCATGAAAAGTCATAAAAAAGTCATAGTATACTAAGGCATAAAAAGTCATAAAAAGTCATAGTGTGGTATGGCATAAAAAGTCATGAAAAAGTCATAGTATAGTAAGGCATGAAAAGTCATAAAAAAGTCATAGTATACTAAGGCATAAAAAGTCATAAAAAGTCATAGTGTGGTATGGCATAAAAAGTCATGAAAAAGTCATAGTATAGTAAGGCATGAAAAGTCATAAAAAAGTCATAGTATACTAAGGCATAAAAAGTCATAAAAAGTCATAGTGTGGTATGGCATAAAAAGTCATGAAAAAGTCATAGTATAGTAAGGCATGAAAAGTCATAAAAAAGTCATAGTATACTAAGGCATAAAAAGTCATAAAAAGTCATAGTGTGGTATGGCATAAAAAGTCATGAAAAAGTCATAGTATAGTAAGGCATGAAAAGTCATAAAAAAGTCATAGTATACTAAGGCATAAAAAGTCATAAAAAGTCATAGTGTGGTATGGCATAAAAAGTCATGAAAAAGTCATAGTATAGTAAGGCATGAAAAGTCATAAAAAAGTCATAGTATACTAAGGCATAAAAAGTCATAAAAAGTCATAGTGTGGTATGGCATAAAAAGTCATGAAAAAGTCATAGTATAGTAAGGCATGAAAAGTCATAAAAAAGTCATAGTATACTAAGGCATAAAAAGTCATAAAAAGTCATAGTGTGGTATGGCATAAAAAGTCATGAAAAAGTCATAGTATAGTAAGGCATGAAAAGTCATAAAAAAGTCATAGTATACTAAGGCATAAAAAGTCATAAAAAGTCATAGTGTGGTATGGCATAAAAAGTCATGAAAAAGTCATAGTATAGTAAGGCATGAAAAGTCATAAAAAAGTCATAGTATACTAAGGCATAAAAAGTCATAAAAAGTCATAGTGTGGTATGGCATAAAAAGTCATGAAAAAGTCATAGTATAGTAAGGCATGAAAAGTCATAAAAAAGTCATAGTATAGTAAGGCTTTAAAAGTCATAAAAACGACATAGTACACTAAGGCAAAAAAAATGTAAAAAACGACATAGTATACTAAGGCATAAAAAGTTATAAAAACGACATAGTATAGTAAGGCATGAAAAGTCATAAAAAAGTCATAGTATACTAAGGTATGAAAAGTCATAAAAAAGTCATAGTATACTAAGGTATGAAAAGTCATAAAAAAGTCATAGTATACTAAGGTATGAAAAGTCATAAAAAAGTCATAGTATACTAAGGTATGAAAAGTCATAAAAAAGTCATAGTATACTAAGGTATGAAAAGTCATAAAAAAGTCATAGTATACTAAGGTATGAAAAGTCATAAAAAAGTCATAGTATACTAAGGTATGAAAAGTCATAAAAAAGTCATAGTATACTAAGGTATGAAAAGTCATAAAAAAGTCATAGTATACTAAGGTATGAAAAGTCATAAAAAAGTCATAGTATACTAAGGTATGAAAAGTCATAAAAAAGTCATAGTATACTAAGGTATGAAAAGTCATAAAAAAGTCATAGTATACTAAGGTATGAAAAGTCATAAAAAAGTCATAGTATACTAAGGTATGAAAAGTCATAAAAAAGTCATAGTATACTAAGGTATGAAAAGTCATAAAAAAGTCATAGTATACTAAGGTATGAAAAGTCATAAAAAAGTCATAGTATACTAAGGTATGAAAAGTCATAAAAAAGTCATAGTATACTAAGGTATGAAAAGTCATAAAAAAGTCATAGTATACTAAGGTATGAAAAGTCATAAAAAAGTCATAGTATACTAAGGTATGAAAAGTCATAAAAAAGTCATAGTATAGTAAGGCATGAAAAGTCAACAAAAAGACATAGTATAGTAAGGCATGAAATGTCATAAAAAAGTCATAGTATACTAAGGCATAAAAAGTCATAAATCGGCATAGTATACTAAGGCATAAAAAGTCATAAATCGGCATAGTATACTAAGGCATAAAAAGTCATAAATCGGCATAGTATACTAAGGCATAAAAAGTCATAAATCGGCATAGTATACTAAGGCATAAAAAGTCATAAATCGGCATAGTATACTAAGGCATAAAAAGTCATAAATCGGCATAGTATACTAAGGCATAAAAAGTCATAAATCGGCATAGTATACTAAGGCATAAAAAGTCATAAATCGGCATAGTATACTAAGGCATAAAAAGTCATAAATCGGCATAGTATACTAAGGCATAAAAAGTCATAAATCGGCATAGTATACTAAGGCATAAAAAGTCATAAATCGGCATAGTATACTAAGGCATAAAAAGTCATAAATCGGCATAGTATACTAAGGCATAAAAAGTCATAAATCGGCATAGTATACTAAGGCATAAAAAGTCATAAATCGGCATAGTATACTAAGGCATAAAAAGTCATAAATCGGCATAGTATACTAAGGCATAAAAAGTCATAAATCGGCATAGTATACTAAGGCATAAAAAGTCATAAATCGGCATAGTATACTAAGGCATAAAAAGTCATAAATCGGCATAGTATACTAAGGCATAAAAAGTCATAAATCGGCATAGTATACTAAGGCATAAAAAGTCATAAATCGGCATAGTATACTAAGGCATAAAAAGTCATAAATCGGCATAGTATACTAAGGCATAAAAAGTCATAAATCGGCATAGTATACTAAGGCATAAAAAGTCATAAATCGGCATAGTATACTAAGGCATAAAAAGTCATAAATCGGCATAGTATACTAAGGCATAAAAAGTCATAAATCGGCATAGTATACTAAGGTATGAAAAGTCATAAAAACGACATAGTATACTAAGGCAAAAAATTAAAAGAACGACATAGTATACTAAGGCGTAAAAAGTCATAAAAAAGTCATAGTATAGTAAGGCGTAAAAAGTCATAAAAAATGTCCTAGTAAAGTAAGGCATAAAAGATCATAAAAATGACAAAGTATACTAAGTCATAAAAACTCATAAAAACAACATAGTATACTAAGGCAAAAAAATGGGAAAAAACGACATAGTATACTAAGGCATAAAAAGTCATGAAAACATCATAGTATAGTAAGACATCAGAGTCGCCAATTAACCTAATGTGCATTGTTTGGACTACGTTGGACTCGTATAGCAAGGCTGCCATGAGTAACAGCATTGTGCACTGAGGCAGCAGAGGATACAGATTTCAAGTCTATAAAAAAAAAAGCTAAAAAAAAGCAAAACATAGGAGGAACACATGAATAAATATCTTTTTATTGTTTCTCTGTGCTTCATCTTCTCTCAGTTCAAACAGCTTCTTGTAGGTAAGTGATTCATGCATCTTAAAAAGATGTTGTCCATGAGTCAGTTTCATACAGTAAATCCTATAATATTCAGCTCAGAGTTGTGTGTAACCACATTTGTATTTTAAAACAATAAAAGCTGATCCTCACCCTCCAGAATAAAACATGACGTCCATGAGCAGGGTGGCTACAGAGGGCAGCGTGTCTGGGTCCAGGCTGGTCACACAAAACATGTTGCTGGGACTAGATAAAGGGTGAATGATGGGACGGGGCACTGAAAAACACAAATGATGAAACACATGAGGTTGCAATATAACTAAGGAGCATCTCCATGAAAAGGTCTACATGGCGATAATGAGCGATCACGCTCATCACATTTTTTGAAAGCTGCTATGTCAAAGGTCAAGAATGAACTCTGGAGTTAAACTTCAAAGCCAACATGTACAAGACGTCCTGAAAGTGCTCAGAAAATGGAAAGTTTGAAAATATTCAAGGTCTAGAAGAAGCTGGTGAGAGATCCCGGTGCTAAAATTGTTAGATTGTAAGATAAGATAAGATAAGACCTTTATTTATCCCTGTAGAGAAAATTCAAATTGACACAGCAGCTCAAAAGAGGAGGGGGACAAATATAATAAAGAAATAAAATAAGAACAGATAACAGAATCTATAATAAATAGATAATAGATAATAAATTAGAAATACTACCTTACTATGTGTAAATATAAAAATAAATATAAAGTTTAACCCACTATGATGTTTGTCCACTTGATCTGTGGTACCTGAATAAATTTACTATTTGCTTTTGATTCCGGTGTCGACTGTGCAACAGACAACTTGGATTTGATTCACAGCCTCTGCATCAGTGCACTGCAGACTGAACACACAAGTCTGAAACATCCAGCAAATACTTTGCTATGTGAGATGCAATATGCTACAATAAAATTTAAAAGGCAGTCCACATTCAGTCATATAACAGGGACTGTAATGCAAGGTGATTGCACACTGCAGGACTCGATCAATTTGAACCATCCTAATATAAGTGATGGTGATGCTGAACAAATTATGTGAAGGCAGAATACTCTGCTGTTTCAGTGTGCATCTTTATGTGACACAGTATGGAGATATTTAAGCTGTTTGTTTTGAAGAGATTTGTTCACCTCCTGCATGTCGTCTATTTTTCAAAAATCTTGCCTCTATACAAAAAAAAAAAAAAACACAGATATAAATCTTTACACATACCAAGTTTTGGCTTTACAAATCCATTGGTGACTCCCAGATTGTGCGCAGCTACAGTCTCCCCGTTGACCACCCGAAGCAAAGTGAACTCGGAAGACAGCGTGTGCATGACCATCGGCAGGTCTCGCTCTCGAACCTGCCGACAAAGCGACAAGAAAACAAAAACAGACATTTCTCAAAATGGCTTTCAATAATCTCCCAAAAAACAAACTTATACTGTTCATATTCTGCATGTAGAAGAGGAGACGGACACACAGAGCATTGCAGCAGCAACGCGTCAAGTTTGAGGAAAAGGGATTGTTTACTCTCAACACAGCTTGTAGCTGCGCTGTGAGTTTTATATAGGTGGAGGGAATAATAAGTGTATCTGTGCCTCTGTTGCTTCTCCTCATGTTCAGGCTGGTTTGAGGTCAGAGACTATTTACTGCGGCTAGCAGATAATCAACAGCTGAGCCTTCAGGGTCAGGTCTCTCTTTACCACCAGAGCACAGTACAACAGGGCTGCGCGACACGGCGAGGTGAGTTTATTTATGTGGAACCTGTCGAACACAGAGGTCATTCAAAGTGGCAAAGAAATGCATTATATGCATTAAAGCAACATTTAAAAACACAACAAAGAGGAAAATGAAATCTTTACAAGCAGAAAGAAATGAATAAAATAAAATAAAATAAAATACAAACAAAACAAGAAAGACAAAAAAATTCATTTCAGTGCTGAGAAATGAATCCGTCAAAGTTACAGGAAAAACAGGAGAGTTTTTCATTTAGATTTGTAGCTAAGGTTAAGGTATTTAGGATTATTTTTCTGGTTAAATAAAGTATGATAAATAAATAAACCAAAATAATCATAGCTTTTAATGTGTCTTGCGTACAAGAGGAAACTGAAGATCAAAAGGTCAAAGATATTCAGATTCATCCTCAGGGGTTCATATATTTAAATTCATGGAAATTCGTTTTGGAGATTTCTTGTCTTGAAGCAGAGCAGTGACAGCAGCGCTGGAAAAATATTCACATCAAACTCGTCACATTAGACCTCTCTGCCACTGGGGGAAAAACCATCAGAAAAAAGGGAACCCCCCCATAAAGGGTGCATTGCTCATGGTGTTTTTTTTGTTTTTTTTTAGATAAAGTGAAAAGGGCAACTTCAAAATATCTAAGCAAAAACATCTGAATGTGACACAGTGTCTCATCTACTGCTGATTTACTTTATCTCTTTCTTACAACCTTTCTGTCTAATCTTCATCAGGTGTCAACAGTCAACGGTTTGGGAGTTTCACTTTTCTTCAAAGGGGCATCTTAAAACATTTAATAAATTATATCATAATTATTTCATTATAATAAAGAAAATAGCTTAATTAATTTTGAAATATAGTTTAATTTGTAATCCACTGGCTTTTTCATTCACGACTGAAGTTAAAGTAAAACTGAGCAGTTAATGCTCTACAACGATGATAAAGGTTTTTATTTAGTTGTCATGCAGCTCAGAACCTGGTGACAGAGCCGAGTTTAATGACAGGAGATTCATTTTGACTTGAATCAATAGATGAAGCCTTTGTTGTCTCTCAACAAATCTGTTGTTCTTGATACAGAGGTGATCTCTCCGGAGCAGGTGAAGTACATTTACATTGGAGTATCAAGTGTTTCTTTATCCAGGGTGACAGCTTTTACTTCAGTTCAATTTCTGTGTGTGTGTGTGTGTGTGTGTGTGTGGAAGGTAAAGTTGCTGCTCTGAGCAGCTTGCCTCAGTCTGGATACTTATGGCTCCGTCTAAATGAGTGTATTCATCATTTGGGTCAGGCTTTACCGCTTTATGTAACACAAAAGATCCTAACAGTGGAAAAAAACACACACACACACACACACACACACACACACACACACACACACACACACACACACATCTTAAGCTGGTCTGCTCAGAGATTCGGTAACACAATCCGACACAGTGTGAGACGAGGATGGGTGGTGGTTGTGGGCGACTGGGTGAACGCAGCGGTGTTTTTGCCTCGTTTTATCTGATACACCGATAATTAGGATTGTGGGTAAGAGCAGCCGGTGTCGAGACAGGAAACAGGCCCGAGTGTGATACCTGGAATTCCAGAAAGAGGCTGAGCGCCTGATCCCCTTTACGTAACAGATTACCAGCATCGACACAGGTTTTTTTTTTTTTTTTTCTTTCATTTTCATAAACATGCCAGAGCTGTTCAGCAGACCTTGTTTTTCCACTAAAGCATGGCAATAAAAAAAAAGACTCCCTGTGCCCAAGTATGCTTCAGAATGAGAGAGGATTTCTGTCCTAAACCGAAGGAGGTGCGGCTGTGGAAGGGACATTATATCCGAGGTTATTGCTTTTTTCATGTCGGGCATGTGGACGTAAACAATTGTGTTGCCAGTGGTTGCGTAACAGACAAATAACGTGACTTTTAAAGCATCAAAAATAGATAAACAAATATAATTCGCTTTTTAACTGCATCCAATGTAAGTGTTTAATGAGGCGTGTGATGTGAAACAAAACAAAAAACTCGTAAGTTCCGATCAGTTTCGACTAAGTTAGTATTTTATTGGATATTTTATTGTTTGCTATTTTGTAATGTGTGGATTTTTTTTCTTGGTCTAGTTTTGTTGATTAACAACCATGTCATTTATTTTAAAGTGTAGATGATACAGGAAATGATGCATGCATATAAGCCGGCCTCTTACTATTTGCAATTTTATCTATAAGATAAAAGCCTCAGTTTTCTGGTCACTCTCGTGCGGCCGTACCAGAGCTTCACATTAAAAGCGGTCAACCGGTGAAACACGGGGTGGCTTTTATTGTGAAGCAGCCACAAGAAAATTATATTATATCATCCATTACAAACCGCGGCTGTCGCAGAACATACAGAGAGACGGTGGAGAAGAGAACGATGGGGCATCAGTTTCTATCATTGGGATATAGTGTAGTCACCCTAAACTTTCAATTACAGCTGCACTGTAGTTTTTATTCCCCAGTTTTATCTGTTTGATTATATTTTTGTGAATATTTTTTACCTTCTCTTCTATTTTACTCTTTAATTCCAGTTTAAATGTGTCTTTTATTGCCTGGGGTTCTTTAATATCTTGTGTCAGTGCCTTTTATGTCTTGTATAATGCACTTGCAGTTGCCTTGGTGTTAAAAGGTGCTTTACATATATTTACACTTAAACTTATAGAGAGACTAACAATATATATTTTGTGTGTAGTGACCGTACATATTTTCCATCTGCTGGAGATTGTGATGAAGATGTTTCAGAGGAGAAAATTGCAGACAATCTCTCAACATGGTACGAAGCAGTAGCTACTGGAACATTATTATCCACACTCACCAGAATGAAATCCGTCTGATACGTCGACAGCATGAAAACAGAGATGTTGTGGTCGGCCAGCGGTGCAATGACTGATTTGGCGATTTTGGTGACTCCGATGGGCTGCGAATTGGAGGCGTTGCCACCCCCGGACACCACGTTGAGGGCCAACCATGTGGCATCGGCAACACTGATGTGCTCCGACTGTGGCAGCTCTGGGAAAGGACAGAAAGAGGTGCAGTAGAAAAACATGTCTGCAGCAGCTCTGTCCCAAAATTAAACAACAAGCCGTGAGGCGAGGGGATTTCAACTGATTTCAGACACACAACACAATGTATTCAGTGTCAAGGGGCTTTTGTCACAGTGACTGTATTACAGAGTTGTATTCATAACGCACAACAGTGACTTGTATCTGCAGCCAGTTCATGAAACTATTTATTAAATGTCTGCTGCCTCTTCCCTGGAAAAAATGCACAGGTGAAGATAAAGTTCTGAAAAAGTCAGAGAGGACACTAGTTCTAGGAAGCAATGAGTAATAATGACTGTTCCTCATTTTTGAGGTGCAGTAGTTCCTGTTTTTCACCTTTTGTGCTGATACTTTTGTTTTAAGAAATACTGAGCATTGTTACTGATGCTGTCAACACCTGGACTTAAAGGAAATGCAACATTATTACTCCACCGTATGTTGGAGTCAGAGACAGGGCAGCAGCCCCAGACTGCGTATTGAACAAGCTTTTCTGTCTGTCCTAATAAATTCCTGTCTAGACGGTGGATCTTTCTCCTGTCTGACTGCACTGTCTGAACAGGAGTGAAAGATACAGTCAAAGAAAAACAATGAATTCTAACAAGACCTTTGACTTTCTGACCAATAATTCAAACTCATCAGCTTTAAGACGACGTGACTTTGGAAAGACGGAACTGAACATTGCTCATCTTACAAATGAAAAATGCAATTAATAAGAAATAAAATGCACCTCGCTCAATTCAACAGACTCAGGGGTTTTGTTGCTGCAGCCGTACTGGGTGGTGGAGGTATGACTAGTAGCTTATGGTGGCTAATGTTAGCTAATCTTTGACATTACTGAGTCAGTTTTCTGGCTTGAAGACTCCTCTTCTCTTCTCAAGCTGCTGTAACATCACATTTCAACACTCGTCATCACTTGTGGTTTTAACTGAAAAAATGATCTCTGGATAATTCAGAGCAGAGGCTCCGTAGACATTAACACTTTACACAGAGTTGTACTTTGAAAGTGTGATTGTGAAACTGATTAGAGCTGCAACGACTGGCTGAATCATTTATCAGATGATTGAAAGAAAATAAAGTTGTTTTTTCAAGTGAAAATGCCAAATATTTGCTTCTCAAATACGAGGAAATCTTTTCATATATGACAGTAATGAAATATCTTTTGGTTCAGGAGTGTTGGTCAGAGAAAATAACAGCAGATTAATAATAATAATGAAAATAATCGACTTTAATGTAGTCAGTGTACTTTAAGTGGATATAATAATTAACATTTTTACTCCAGTGTTTAGTCTAAATTGTCCCTTGTAAACATGCATATGGATATAATGCATACTGTCCATTTTAAGGTCAGAAAAATGTATTTTCAGTCTCTTTTGGAAGTTTTCACATTGTTATCTGACACCGTCTCCTGGAGTTTCACAGTTTAGTAGAAAACAGGCACTAACACACTGAGAGCCAGTCACCAGTACAAAATACCTGAGCCAGTTACGCAACAAATAGCCTGTAGTCTCCAGGGTAACCAAGGAGGGTCACCCTGGAAAAGGGTGTGCAATGACATGGATTCATTCACTCAGCCAACCACAAAACACAGCGAGCGGCAGCTTGGCCTCACATCCATAATGACAAAGTGTGCTCAAACATTGGCAGCCGACGCTACGTGGTACCGGAGAGACTCTGAGATTGCACAATGTGATCTTTTCCTGCTGCCCGATCTATGGTTGCCACAGTGACTTTAAAGATCCACGAGGCGAGGCCCACCTTTAAAGCCCTCCTCATCCACGATAATGGTGTAGTCCTCCGGAGTCTCCGTCAAACTGAAGAACTTGCATCTGAACAGGAGGGAGAGACAAAGAGAGAGAGAGGACGGATCAAGTAGATGAATTCATGATAAATAAATAAAATAAAACAGGAACAAAGCTCCATGCCGGACAGAGCTTGACTAATGTCTCAGTTCAGTCTAACAGTTACCGACCATCTCTGCTGCATTCACAACACACATCAAACTGTCTGTTCGCAGCATTAAGGAGACACATTCATCCGACGATGAGACGTGCAGGGACCAACACATCGCTGCATCTAGGCCTGTAAATGTCTTCCTTATCGTTTTATGTTGAATATCAGGCTCATAACCACATCATCAGTAAAGCACATTGCTGCTCATAAACCTCCCCAACACGAAGCGAGAGAAACCCGGCTGTGAGAGGAATCTGAGAGATCAAGAGACACAAACACAGAGCCGGACGATTCCAGCCGATACCAGACTTACCTCGATAACAATTCATGTAACAACATCAGTGATAATGAGCAGTTTCCACAACACACGTTAGATTGTGAGCAGTTTAAACTGTCAAGCACAGAAAGCTGCTGGGGTCAGATTCCTGATCTTGTTTGTCTAATCTGTGATTTTTAATAGAAGTTCTTGTGTTTACTCAACATTTACAGTTTGACTTCTTTTGTTGGGGTTTTGTAGAAAAACATGTTTATGTTTTTCAGTCATTTCCAATTACGGCCTGCGTGAACATCACAATTATCCTTGCGTCAAGATTTAATTCAGCAACCCAGGAATGTTCTAGGATGGTAAAGCATCGGTTTGAAATGACGTCCAGCAGACTCCCTTAAGCACAAAGGGAAGCGGCGCTCTGGAAAAACACCACGCACAACACTCCTGTGATAATCACATTCTTTACCGGCCGGCCGCCGAATGCTCGCACTTCATATTTGGCTGAAAGGTGTGAACAGCAGCAGGAGAGTAACAGAAAGACTCTCTGCAGCGCTCTCTATGGAAACCGCAGCATTTTTCTCTTGGAATTAAAAGAGCTGTCAAGTGTCACTTTGACTTGCAGTGTGTTTTGCAGAGGTAGGACATTAGGATGATGAGCTCTGGATTTTTTTTTTCTTCGCCTCGTGCCCGGGCTGACAATCATGATCGTGTCACTGCTTAATGACTTACTTTATTCTTTGACGGCGTCTGTCCAGATCAACAGTGAAACAGAAAATCAGTGCAGAGATTCAGCACATCTCCCCTCACTGAACATTTAGCCTGCGTGTAACCTCACAGAGAGTTTTTAGATCAAACTCATAAAGTTCATAAGCTTTTGAATTATCCCTTTGAAATATTTCACAGTGCTTATTTGTGTTTCTATTTTTATTGTTTTATTTCTTTTTAATCTTGTAATCTCTGATTTTTGATAAATGCCAGATAAATAAACTTTATCATATTATTCAAATGTAAAACACTGCGACTTGCAGCTCTAACAAAACACAGAAAAATCAGACATATTAACTGAAACTAACCTGATTTGTTATCAGCAAAACAACAGAACAATTCCAAACTAAACACTCCCACACAAGTTAACTTAGTTTGAGACCTGCTGATTTAATACGTGTTGTCAGGAGGAAAAAAATCTTCAGATCTTCGGAGCGTAAATGTTAAATGACTGTAACTTCTGTTCCCTGGAGGAGAGAAACGAAGTGCGACACATTAAAGTACAGGGCGTGATATACCATACATGTTGTACCGAGTGAATCGACTGAAGGGGAACTCCACTCTTTATATTTAAGGCTGGGTATTTATATTCAACGCTGAGACACTGAAATGTATCCGTGGCATCAAGTATCAAAAAATATCTGAAGTTGGAGTCAAATATCTCAGATTCTGAGGCTTATTTACTCTTTGATAAGATATTTCATGATTTATATGAGGAAACTCTTTGTTTAAACTTTAGATTATGTTTTATTTCTTTAAAAACAGATGCTAAAGTTGCATTAATTACATTTTTTTGGACATTTAGTGGCAGAGAAACAAGCTGAAAAGACAACACTGATGCATATACACAATCACCTCCTGACATTGTTAGCAAACAGGAACTTATCTGCACATCCAGGACACACAGAGAAACATTAGTATTCATCTGGAGTCGTGATCTGAACACCTGACGAATGTCCCTAAATATATGACTATTTACCTACTAGATACTCCACCATACTCACCAGCTGGACGCCAGCTTTGTTTGTCGGCCGGAAAACCAAAACAATGAGCTACAAGAGGCTCAAACGCTCAGTGAAGCTCATAGTTGGTTTATAATTCTCTGTAGGTTTGTCACTTTTCACAGTGTCATTTTATCCACTGTTTATATAAAGATAATGATATAATAGACGCAAGTTGATATTCCCTACAATAAGGCTCTGTGAAAGAAGTATTACATCTGTACCAGTGTGTCAGTACTGTGCTGGTGCTGAAACTTATCAATCATTTTCACAGCAGTATTTATATTTGAAGACATATTTCCGCTAAACGAATGTGCATCCTAATCACAGCATGAAGTTTTCCTCTTTGTGCTTTGTGGATTTTTCCTTAAAAAAAAAACAAAAAAAAAAAAACAATGTCCGTCAGTCGCTGCGAATGCATGGAAAAAGAGACACGACGGATAAGGTGAGAGAATGAAATAAAAACAGACTGGAGTAAAACAGATCAGCACCTTAACACACCAAATCAACACGTCAGCATGCACACTTAATTTGTTCAGCAGAGAAAGGCAGCACAACAAAACACTGTGATAAAAGATGAAAGTATGTTGTTGTACTGCTCATCAAGGAGGAGGCGCTGAGGTTTGCCAAAGTTGTTGCTTCAACAACATAAAGTGGAGGATGGGAAACTGGTTGCAAAACCAGTGTCATCTGAGGGACACTCCTGTTCTGCAGTCAAATGATATGAAGTTATGTAATCATTAATGAAAGGCTGCCATGACCACGCAAACATCCAGCCTCAAACAAGGTGCACCACTTCAGAAAAATCTGCCCCCAAACACTAAATCTTGTGTGCGGCTAATCCTACGAAGATTTGACATTCATCCGATCAAAGAGAAGGAGCCTTTCTTCTGTTTTTCTTACTTCTCTGTCACTGAATTTCCCAACATTTCCAACTTCCTTTAAACAAAAAATGAAGTCTGAACTGATGCTCATATTAATACTGCCTCACTGGCATGAAGAGCACAGAGGAGGGAGGGGGGGGAATTACAAGAAAGACAAATCTAACGTGCAAAGATGAAGTCAATTGTTTACAAGTGCCAGTTTACTTGTTAACACTCGAATCCAGAAATGAAAAACTGTGACTGTTTCCGTTCTGTTGCATACCAGTAAAGAAACCCACACACAGACTGGACACAAAGGGTAAATGTAGCACACACACTGTGGATGTGGACGCAGTGTGAAACCAGGTCTTTGAATGCATCGCTTTCAGGTGGAGGAAAATTTCTCTTTCGTCTCCTGCGAAAAATTAGCAAAAACATTTAACTGCTGTTTGTCACAAAATCAACTATAATTGGATATTAAATACAGGTGAAATGGATATGCCACTGTCTGATGATCTCTTCATATGAACTATTATCACTTAGGTCTTGATTTTCTTCATATTCACAACTGAGCTCAGTGATAATGAGCTTGTAATGCCTCATGAAGAACAAGGACAAAGGGGTTTTTGACTCATTTATCAGTTGCTCGTGATTGGCGATTACAAAGCTGCAGTAACATGTGTGACAAACAAGTTGGTAAATCACATTTATCATGTGTTTACTTCCTCACTCACATCAACACGGTAAGTTCGGCCTCTCCTGGTCTGACACAATCATGAAGACCAAAGCTGCTTTAAAAAGCAACTTGATGACGTAGTCAAAAAAATAAAATAAAGTGATGACCCAGACTGTGTATATGTGTAATCAAACATGGGTCATGCATCCAACCAAGAGGAGGCGAAAGTGATGAGATTATGTTGTTGGGTTAGCAATAGAACTGATTAGCCGTAACTATATAGATCTATTACATCATTTTTTTTCAAGCAAAAACATCAAACATCTTCTCCGGTGTAAGGATTTGCTGCTTTTCTCCGTTTTATATCATTGTAAACTCTTATTTTGTGACAGTTAATCAAAAGAATAATCTGCACATGAATTGATAGCGACAATGATCATTAGTTAAATCCATAGGGGGGTTTTGATTACATCATGTAATGAGTAATCTGCAGACTGTGTTTTATCAGTAACTTCTCCTCCTCAGCACAGAGGCAGAGTTGATTACCAGTTCACTGCCACACTGGGGCAAATAATGACTGACTTAGCCTGTTGTAAAACAGCCAGGGAGGGCACAGCCAGTGTGTCAGTGAAGTGCACTAATTTGCTTATGCTAATATTATATTAATAGACTGTTGTGGTAATAAAAAAAAAAATGACTGCAAAACAGAAGTGCAAAGGCCTGTTGTTGTGTCACTGGCTGGGCTATTTAAATGAAAGTTTCCTGAGGGGGAATGGCTCATGCAAGTTTGTCTGATATGGTTATAATATTCCTGATAGAGGTACAAACAGGCTGCACACACACACACACACACACACACACACACACACACACACACACACACACACACACACTCATACAAACAAACACAAACACAAACACATACATACACCCGCTGGCGTCGACCCAGCTACAGATGGCACAAAGCTACAAAATGACACTACAGAACAAGGATAGGCCTGGAAACCGGTGGCAGAGAGCAAACACACTCGGCTGCTCTCAAAATAACACCTGAATCCACATCGACAACAAACTACAGGCGCTGGCTGGAGCCGGAGCTTTGAACACAAGTACATGCAGCCGCCGGCATTAGTTTGCTGTAATGTTAACAACAGCAGAGCCCTGACAGTAAACACGTACAGCAGCGAGGAGCAGCATAAATGACACTGTACATTTCCACACAGCTATCAGGTCTGTGAAGTTACCTACCTTGTTTTGGAGGCCAGGAAGGCGAGTTTTATTAATCCGTGAGTGCAAATCTGGATCCCCTCTTTCTCTATACTCGCCACTTTCAAGCTGTGCTCTAAAATATGAAGCTCCATCTTTTACGTCTTCTCATTTGAGGAGCGACTAAAATGTAAAAAAAAAGAAAAAGAAAAAAAAAAAAAAAAAAAAAAAAAAAAAGGAAAAAACCTAGAGATACTTTCAAATAAGATGCATAAATAAATAAATATACGCGCGCACACACGCGTACACACAAACACACACACACGTCTGGCGAAGGCGTTTTAAATAGAGAAAGAAAGAGGGAGGCAGGGTGGAATAAAGAAAGCAAAGAGGTGAAAAACGGACCTGCTGTCAAACGTGCGACGGAAAAGCGCACACTTCTGGTCAAGGGTTTTCAAAATAAAAGTCTAAGGCACAAGCTATAGAGCGGGTTCACTGAAGAAAAGCATTGGAGTCTTTACATCTGAGTCACAGAGTTAAGAATCAGTTAAAAAATGAATGAATAAATGTGAGGGAAATGTCATCTGACCACAAGACTAACTGATTAAAAATCAATAGATTAAGCATCAATCAAAACAATGTTTTTTTTAACAGCCTAAACTCAATCAATATAAAAACATAGGGATACAACATTTAGACCTTATTTTTGCTAACTGAAATGGTAGCATCCAAGTACGATTAAATATTATTACTTTTATTATTTTTATCATTAGGTAGGAGTTTTTGTATAAGTGGATCTAGATTTAAAAAGCGATTTTCTTGAAATTACAGCGCCATTTAAAATTGAATTTATAAGCTTACTAAAGAAACATGAAAATCCAAACAAAATTTAAAAAAAATTACCTGCTGCGAGTATGTATTATCACAGTATTTTTATATTAGTATTATGTCTAGGCTACACAGACAAAATAATTTTATTAATTTGAATGGAAATACTGTTTTATATTGTTCAAATTCCGGTGCTTTTATTTTGAAGAAGAAATGCGAAAGCGGAAGTGACTGTCTAACCAGCTTCCCGCGGCTTGTCAGACCTGTTCAATGGGAAAGCAGTGGACCGCTGGTCCCCATGTTTGCTCTACGACTGGAATAGTTAGCAGCTGGTCGGAGTGAAACAAACAACTTGCCATTCAAACGAAGGGGGCGGGTCTGCAGCGGAGCAAGGCATCATGGGAAATGTGGTTTTCTAGCGTATTTGTCTATCCAGTGCAATGTGTTGCAGATTGGATTTTAAATTAAAGGTTAACGAGTGGTAAATAGCAGTTGTGAGTACTAGACGTGAGGAGGAGCAGTTGTTTAAACAAACAAATATAACAAACCACCTCCACCATCTTGGATGAGGAGCAACTTAAATCTCCCCCGGGGAATTTTTTCCCCATTCACAGCAGCTATGTGCACTATTTACTGTATCAAGCCATTTGGGGATGTACAAATGGCCGCTCCACTCCTCTCCTCCTGGTTTTTCATCACATATTTTTCTCCTCTCTTCTTCTCTTAACTTCAAGCTTTTCACTTCTTTCTCTCTCCCCTCGTCATCTCTTCACCTAGTCCTGCTTCCTCTGGTGGTCCACAGGTTGTCCTGTCCTGTCCCCTTGCTCTCTTACTCAATTTCCCTCATGGCTTTCCCAGCACGCCGAAAATGAAACCATGAAGAGTTTTGCGTTAAGCCCGAATGAAGTTGTCGGGCTACCTATATGAATGGCTATTTCCCCAGTACAGTACTAATAGAGTACAGTCAGAGAGACTGAGAGGAAGTGACACCAAGTTGAAGTTATATTATAAACCTCATGTAAACCTCAATTAAGTTAAATTCACAATAATTGGCATCCTGTTGCGTCTCGTGTGTGTATGTGAATAGTTATCCCTCGCTGTGAGGGTGCAGTGGAAAAACAGTGCACAGCAAGGTGCAATTAACATGGACTATACAAACAAGCTTGGGCACATCTCCACCTACATCCATGAACATGTTCATCACATGTATGGCACAGGTGCAGAGGAGGTTCTCTTCACCACTTCCTCCTGTTCTTCTCTCATCTGCTACCTGGGTGTCTTGTCTGTGGTTTACTAACTATACTGCACTAGATTCCCCTGAAACCTCCTGCTCACTGTGTATTAACTGGGTTTTGGTCATTTGATTCATTTTATATTTGTTCCGACTTATTCTGCATTGTTGCAACCCTGTGTATTTGTATAAATAAAGTTTTAAAGGTCCCATATTTTACACTTTTCCAGTGTTTTATTTTTGCTTTACATCTCTCTGGAGGTCTGACATCACAAAGTTACAGAAGTCCTTACAGCTCTTTTTAAGGCTCAGTTTCTGAATAGTGTTCGTTTCTCTGTGGACTGAGCGCTTTGATACTTTCACAGTATTAACGTAGAACCTACATACAACCTTTATACAATATGGGACCCTTAAGACATTCACCATTTTACATTATATTGTCCACACATGGTGCATATTTCTAAATAAAGTTATATTTAATCAAAGTAACTGATGCACACTGACCTCGGGGCCATGTATGCTCTTCTGTGTGCATTGTAGTTGATGGAAACTCCTACAGGGGTTCAAACAAGTTGCTTGCTATCCATCGCGTGTTGAGTATTTTGGCCCAGAGGAAGAAGATGTGCACCAACCTTAAATCCCTGCCTCTAAATCTCAAGCCCCAAAGCGAGCAATCTCGAAGTGCTTCTTAATCCTGCTTTGAATTTTGACATGCCACATCCTGAATATCACCAAAATTCAGTCTTTCTGGACTGAATTTCTCTCACTGACACTGAAAATGTAGTTTTGGATGGTTTTTAATCACATAAACAGGCACCACTGCCGCTGCTGCTCCTTCCTTCCACCATCCTAACCATCCCTGTGCCTCAAAGGCAACCCTTCTGCATTTCATTTGAAAGTCTTGAACCACTTCCCTGACAAGTATATTCCTCCCTACGAAATCACAGAAGCACTGTGGTGTTAATTGTTTCGAGCCGAGGGCCTCTGTCGTTGCAGCATTTCCAGCCAACACTCTAATTGCATAACATTTAGTTGTAACAGCCCACAAAACAAAGTATTAATTAAGCAAACAAAGACAGGAGCTCTGCTACAACAACAGAAAGATAATTGTATGAAAAAAAAAAAAAAAAGCATTTCCCTTGTGTCAGGCAACTATTGTACTGCTAATCTTCAGATGGGAATTGGAAAGCAAATAGGTCCCTGGACAAATAAATACACAAACGATAACGTACACACTTATGCTGAAGCATTTCAAGTAATAGTAATTTTCCATTGTGGTTTATGTTTATGTATCACACGACAGATGAGCTTAAAGCTGTAGCGACAAATTGGTGATTTCCCCTTTGTAGAAATATTTTATGAATAATTATCACCTATTATTTATGAGTTCATGAGTTTTTTAAAGACATTTCATTGTGTGATAAACTGGAAATATTCAATAAAGTACACAGTGGTTACAATCTGTGATGAAGACATCAAAGACGACCTTACCAGCTAAAGTCATTCAGACATACTGTCATTTATTTCTTGCAGACATGAGACCTACAGCGCATTATACACCAATAAATGGCTACCTCTGTACAGTATGTGGAACCTAGGTCTGCTTAATGTATCTCCATTTACTTTTCACGTATGACTTGCAGTATATTACATATTGATTACTTGGAAGTGGGTTACAAGTGGGTCTTTTGTGGCTTTGTGCCTGAACCTGAAACCGGTGCACTATCAAAGCATTAATAGGTTCACTTAGCTAGTGGCCCCTGTGTGGTGTAGTGTTCAGCCGTTGATGGACATTTAGTCGACACTTTACTGCATCGAGTTACCTCTGGCTTTCTTTCCGCTCTGCAGAAACCTTAAAGGTTTCTGTACACGTTGAAACAATCTATGTTGTGCGACCACAGGTGTAAACACGTGTGCCTCTGGCTGTACAATCGCAGCTAAAAGGAAAGCGTTTAGACCTGCTTCAAATGGCCACAAATGAAGGCAGGGTGAAAAGCCTGCTGTGACGTTTTAAAGACCTGTCCCCTCTGCTTCCTGTTTTTTTTTTTTTTTTTTTATCCTTGTCAGATTGATCGTGAAGAGCTCTGTCCTTTTGTACACAGTAGGGCCCATTTTGGAGACAACAGTACACACTTTTGGAAGTTTCTCCTTCGAAGTGAATCATAGTGTTGTCGTGTAGCTGTGTGAGTCACTCGGTGCCTCTCTGGCCGACCATTTGAGCCAGCTTCGCACACCTGCGGTGAGTCCACCGCTCTGCAGACATTGCCCAAAGTAATAACACACTGTGCTTAGAATTGTGACGTTAAAATGGCAATGACAGGGGAACTGATCATTTGCCGAACTCCTATCCTGAGCAGCAATTGTCCCGTCATAGCTTGGCAACCATAAATAAGCATGTCAGGCCCTTCTGGCCTTGGATCTCTCCCCATGTTGGAGCGGTGTGCACAGGGCTGTTGTAACAGTGACACTTCTGATATCCGATCTAACATTAATCTACAATTGTTAGCTTATCCAGCTAACTCACTACCTGTTGTAACCTAACTCAGCATCGCTTACAAAACCAAGAGAGTTAAGTGAAACAGAATGTTTGTAATTATTTAACCTTTATTTGACTTACAACAAGAAAACATTCATATCCATGTCCAAGTTTTACCTTTATTATAATTTTCCTATGCTAATGCTAATGTTGGCTATGTAGCTCTAGCAAACTTTACAAATAGCTCCTTTAATACTGTTGAAATAAATGCTCAAATATTATACATTTATTTGTTTTTACTGGTTACCCTGAGGTAATGCACCGGTATCAACCAGGTCATGGCTGACGCATCGACGCATGGTGTGTTTGGAAGTTGCTTCAGATGGCAGATACGTTTCATCAGCCGTCAGGAACAGCTTTCCCAGGTCTTCACTGAAATGGTTCAAAAGCAGCATAAGATCAACATTTAGATGCTTCCTATTTTGCTCTTCTTCTCAAGGGACATGAGATGTGAAACAACTTGACACGGTTTCTCTGTCAACATCCACCCCTGTGAGTTATCTGAAGCGAGCCATCTCAAACAGATATGACCCCTCTCCTACCAGAACAGGGGTTTTCATTCCACTTACTGTGTCGTTTCTCAGAGTGTAGAAAGTTTCCACCAGTTTCCCTCGTGTGATATCTCAGTACTCATATTTGGACAGCCATAAACCGGAATATGAAAACTAGAAAACCCAGAACCAAAATAAAAATCCCGCTGGTGGATGCTCATTCCCTGAGTTGGATCTCCCTCTGAGGAGCAGAATTAAAGCGGGAGGAGGTGGAGCGGAGGTGGGGTGCATAAAACCGCGCTGAAATGAGAGCCAAAGGCGGCCGAGCAATGGACCATTTTAAATTCTGGCAGCAGCATGATGATTGCTTTACTGAAAAGATGGAGCCATCGCAAAAAGAAAATTGCAGAAGCCACAAATGACAGCTGACAGTGTGACGAGTTGACAGAGTCGGAAAAAATCTATATCTAAAATTCACCCGCGGCTCAGGTGAGAGAAAATGATTTGGTTACAGATGCTAATAATAAGGTTCAGAAAGAACGTCCCTGCTCCATGTTGAACAGTGGGTGGAATAACAAACCTTACAGGCTGTATAAGAAGAAGCATTCGTGTGTCTTGCAGATGGGAACTGTATGATCCTTTACAGCATGACGCACTGACCAACACCACGGACATGTAACTTTCTAATGCTTCCTGGAATCTGCATGAAAAGATGTTCAAGTTGCCATTTATGGTCAGAAATTGACGGGTCAGATGTTTCGCTTTTCTCACAAATATTCCCGGCAGCCCCTCAGGCTCTGACTGACTGACTGACTGATTTTCTACAGCTTCCACTCCCTGAGTCATTGTAGTGTCTGAGCAGACTCAGCACTTTTCAAGATGCA